AGTGGGAATGTAACTATTAGCCTTATCAAGGTAAGGACTGTGTTTCACTTCCAGCCAGCAGTCCAGTGTCGGGTCCAGGACTCTCTGGCTGGGCCAGTGTCGGGACACAAATTTCGACGGCTCAGAATCATTCATTGGAGCAGAACTGTTTGACCATGGACTTCGGGTTCAGTGTCGATGATCAACTGTACGTGTGCAGCTCATCCTGCATTTCCAGCAGTGCTTCAATCATGTACTCACGATCCCGGAATGGAGCATAGTAGGCTCGGTGGTTGATCCACCTGACAATGGCTTGTTCCATGGTCATCGAGGCAAAGGCCATGACTAGGACACAATAAGCAGCACAGGTCCTGTTAATGCCACCGTAGCAATGGACAAGCACACGAATTGGCCTCTTCTTGCCTCCACGCTTCCGACCACCTCCCTGAAGCTTCATCGCCTCCAACAAAGCAAGAGCATTACCGAGCTCACCAGGGAATGTCTCATCGGCCACCTTCAAGGCACTCTGCCTTCCATCGGCACTCTGCCTTCCATCAGCGGCTCTTCCGAACAGGCTGCCCATGTCACTTCCCTTGCTGAAGCCCTTGTCATAGGAGCAGCCATAGCCAAATGAGCCCTTCGTCGATGCCTTCTGGCTTTGCATGTGATTGGAAACCTGACAGGGGCCGCTGTAGCCCTTGCTGATTGTCTTGCCCTTGCCCCTGCCGCCATTGGCCTTGCCCATCATTTTGCCCTTGATGGCACTCTGCCTTTGACTCTGGCTGAACTCCTCTGCTGAGCGCTGCCAGCACATCATAATCTTTCTGAAATCTGAAATGAGGCGGCGCCAAATGGTCTTGAACTCATGACTTCTTTGTTCAGCATCAAAGTCATTGGCATGTGTTTGATCCCAGCCACCATACCGAAGATGTGCAGTGCCAAACGGTCCACAATTCGCCAAATACTGATACCAGTCCCATGGCTCAAAATTCCGAGGTCTGTCATCTGCATTCATAGAGATGACAATGTCAGGCTTGACCCGGAGCTGGTCATATCGGATCGGGCAACCAATACTGCCAACAAACAGTTGCCACTGGGGATGGTCGTAAATCAAAACATCATCCATGGGCCACGTCTCGACATCATGCTGGCATGGCCGAGGTGGCGGGATCGACCCAGGCAGCACATCTGTCTGGCCGGTCCATGCTTTGTACAACTTCATATCCATATCTCCGAAATCTGAGATGGCCTCAACTGCCAATTTGATTCGTTGATCCAATTGTGCAGCCCTTTGGATCTTTCGGAGCCCGGTGGTATAGTCGGCAGCTGATCTGCCACAGTGTAAACAATTCCACCGAAGTTGTTGCACGGCTTCGTTCCAGTAATCACTGCCAAGGTCAATGTGATTGGCCTGATGATGGTCAGCAGCAGAACTCTGGCACTCTGCCTCGGAACTCCCTGAGCACCTTGAAACGGTCGTCGGCATCACTGCTTTCATCGAGCACACAATTGTCCAACGATTAAAACATTAACAGTGACTAATGCATCACTATACAGTACATTAACCAATGATATGTAACATTGTGTTACTACTGTTACATCAGTATGAATGAATCACTTGATTCCCTGGCCGGCAGATGTCGATCATGTATGGTGCAAGGCAACTCACTGACAGACTATGCAGGCAGGCAGGCAGGCAGCCAGCCTCGGAGACAGCAGGGTCCTGAGGACATCACTGCCACCCGGCACTGTGTAGTCAGCATGTCATGCTGGGTAACCTTTTTGAATCCAAGTTGCGCACACTACCGCTGAGGTCTCAAATCGGACAGTCTAGCTCTGCTGGCGAGATCGTCGAATTCAAAATCCTCTAAGCACACGCAAACCCGGCACTCTGCCTTCCCCAACATCCGTAATACGGTCTCGGAGGCTGTACAAACACGACAAATCATTGATTCAGTGACGACACAAATTCGTCTGACACATTGTAATGTAAAATTCCTGGCACTCTGCCTTGCCGCACAAATCTCGGAACGAGTACGCACGGGATCATGTCATTGATATGCCAGTCTACTTGCAAGACTTGCCCACGCTCTTCAGAATTCAGAAACATCCACAATGTCGAAAAGGACTCCTCTAGCAGCTCGTCGAAATAAATCACATAATCATCGTCGTCAAAACTGTCCGCGACCGAGCCCACAAACGAACCCCCAAACGCCGCAGTGCTTGCAAACTCGCCAACAGCCAATAAGTCCGAGACCGAGCCCAGAGACTCACTGTCACTCCACGACGTCGACGACATCTGCCGGCTTGCACGGAGGCCTACTACGACTTAGACTAGAGACAGAGCAGGTCGTCGGGATCACTGCTTTCATCGAGCACACTTCAATTGTCCAAAGATTAAAACATTAACAGTGACTAATGCATCACTATACAGTACATTAATCAATGATATGTAACATTGTGTTACTACTGTTACATCAGTATGAATGAATCACTTGATTCCCTGGCCGGCAGACAGATGTCGATCATGTATGGTGCAAGGCAACTCACTGACAGACTATGCAGGCAGGCAGGCAGGCAGCCAGCCTCGGAGACAGCAGGGTCCTGAGGACATCACTGCCACCCGGCACTGTGTAGTCAGCATGTCATGCTGGGTAACCGTTTTGAATCCAAGTTGCGCACACTACCGCTGAGGTCTCAAATCGGACAGTCTAGCTCTGCTGGCGAGATCGTCGAATTCAAAATCCTCTAAACACACGCAAACCCGGCACTCTGCCTTCCCCAACATCCGTAATACGGTCTCGGAGGCTGTACAAACACGACAAATCATTGAAGCAGTAACGCCAGAAATTCGTCTGACACATTGTAATATAAAATTCCTGGCACTCTGCCTTGCCGAAAATCCCGCCGAAGTCTCGGAAAGAGTGTGAACATGATCTGCTCATTGACAGACCAGGCTACTTGCAAGACTTGCCCACGCTCTTGAGAATTCAGAAACATCCAGAATGTCGTAAAGCACTCCTCTAGCATCGTGTCGAACGGAATCACAGAATCATCGTCGTCAAAACTGTCCGCGACCGAGCCCGCAGTGCTTGCACCCTCATCGTCAACCAGAACCCAGTCCGAGCCCACAGACTCACTGTCACTCCACGACGTCGACGACATCTGCCGGCTTGCAGGGGGGCCTACTACGACTTAGACTTGAGACAGAGCAGCTGTAACACGACTATAGTAGATTACGCAGGGCAACAGCGAGCACAACTGCTGCAGCGGCAAGTTGCGATACATGACACGCTCACTGACTATGCAAGGCAGCTTGTCCTCTGCGATGGCAGCATGTCCTCAGGATCCTCGTCATGAGCCTCGGTGCCAGGACTGTACCATAATAATGGAAGTAGCTGAAGCAAGCTGATGCTGAGATCCCAGCAGTTGGCATCCACTTCTCGATGGGCTGGAAGCCGATGAAGACCGATGGGAGAGAAGGAAATGGAAGAGAAGGCGTTCACTAGGCTTGGATTCAAACCGAACACTTAGACCTGGCCAACGGTGTGGGGAGCAACCCCGATGGGGCAGGGACTTAAGTAAGGCAACCTCGAGAGGCTCGACTGGCACTCTGCCTCTGTCGATCCAAGTCGCAAGGCTCCCTAACTAACGTGACAAGCATGGATGGCCTCCCCTCCTGGTTGGGAGAAAAATAAAAAAGCCACAACCACTGGACCACCCCACCCGGCACTTTAGCCCATGTGCCCGGGTGTCATATGCCACTGCCCTGGCACGTTGGCCCCAAGGCGGTCCAGGTACCATCGACAACACCTGACACCCGGCCAACGGTGTCCACGAACCGAGATGGGCAGTCGATCCGTGTGGGTAAGGTGGCACTCTGCCTCTGTCGATCCAAGTCGCAAGGCTCCCTAACAAAACGTGACGACAAGCATGGATGGCCTCCCCTTCAAGGCTGTAAGCACGGCTGCGAACAACCCCTCAACCGCCCCACCCGGCACTTTAGCCCATTTGTCCGGGTGTCATATGCCACTGCCCTGGCACGTTGGCCCCAAGGCGGTCTAGATACAATCGCCTCATAACCTGACACCCGGCCAACGGTGCCCACGAACCGAGAAGGGCAGTCGATCCGTGTGGGTAAGGGCAAGATCTCAAGGCAAGTCAACATGTCACTACGGCCTCCCTTCTTTGTTCAATCACAACCCAAAACTATTTAAAAAGATTAAATATTAAAAATTATTAACTTCAACAACAAATAAACAACAATTTTGTAGACATACAGCAGCAGGAAACCAGGTAGAACAACAGGAAGCCAATTGACTCACTCAGAAACAAAATTCACAAACATGTATTTTTTACACCAAAAATAAAATAAAAGAATTTTAACAACTGTAAAACACAAAAAAACCTATTTAAAAAACTTTTAAATACAAAACAATACTTTTAAATACAAAAAAACACTTTTAAACACAAATAAAGCCAACCACATACAAAAATGAGATTTTGGGTTCCTTTCATATAAGCCTTGTTGATCTAAACCCTGTGGTTCTGGTTCGGCGCAAAGGGTTAAGGATTCCACCCGCCCTGAATTGAGAACGCCTGCAAGGAGTTAAAGTTTGGGGTATGGGACTTCGGATTTCAGCCGAAGGGGGGAGGGTTTCGAATTTCAGGTTTGCAAATATTGCTGGCAGTCCTCATGATACGATGGCTCCTTACTAAAGTCTTATTGACATCCTATCAGTCAGCACCAGTAGCCTGAAAAGCTGTTGTCTAATCTAATGGATGGGAAACTTTATGACAAGTCAGAGCTGTAAGCCGCAAGTTCCAATCTCCGTTTTAGGGTTCAGGGTGTAGTGCCTAGTGCTAAGCGTTTATGCTGCAGGGTTTAGGGTTATGTGTTTTCTTTGGTGTTGTCGGGCTGGCATGCGAAAACACGCCGACAGGCCGATACAAAGTTTAGGGGTTTAGGGTTTAGGGGTTTAGGGTTTGCAGGGTTTAGGGGGTTAGGGCATGGCGACGGCCTGGGTAACCCAGGCTGTGATTGCTTTGGCATCGAGATCACTGGTGAACGGGAGCACGTACCTCTCCGGCTCTGCTGGGTACTGTACTTGGAGGATCATGGGACTTAGTAAGTAAGGTCATAAGTACCTTAATTGGGGTTATGAGTAGTTCTAAGAATAGTTACCTTACTTATCACACTGGCTACTAAGTCCCATGATCCTCCGAGTAGTCTAGAGGCATGGGCTTCAAGGGGACGGGAATTGCGTGACATGCAGAAGTGCCCTGAGTCCGAGTCACGTGGGAAAACCTCGGACTTTCGTCTGCATGCAACCTAATGTAGGAACCTGATTAAGAAGCCTTGGGCATTTATTAGGGTTCCGTATGTGAAACCTGCTATTTTGGGATCATGGGCCCAGGGTTTCTAAATCAGTTTCCTACATTGTACCTCAAACCCCAAACCCAATAAACCTATGCTCCAAACGTCCCAAACCACAATGGCTACTATAAGGGCCCTATAATGGTACCATAATATAGGGGGCCTTCATAAACAGAATACAGGGAACTCCAGAAAGTTGGAATATGGTTTCAGGGTAGGATACCCTATGATTTACCATAGAAGGGTTAGAATAATCATATTCCAACTTTCTGGCTTTTACTTTATATATCCAAAAGGTAGATCCCTTAATGGGGATTCCTATAAAGAACCCTTAGTAGTATAGGGCCCCAAATTAGGGGATCTACTTTCTAGAACCCTAAACCCTAAACCCTAAACCCTAAACCCTTTTAAGGCCCTTATAGTACCAGGCTCCCGGGCTTAGGGCCTCGGAGCTCCAACACCCCAAAACACAGAGCCATGAAGCTCCCCCTGGTGCCCTCCCTTCGCGCCCCCCCGGCTCTGACACTGCGAAGTCTGAGACCCAGAGCCTCCAAACACCCCTTAAATAAGGAATATACCTTAAATCATAGTAGGATCCCTAATAGAGTTTAAGGTATATTCCTTAGTTAAAAGGTTTTGGAAGCCTTGGGGACTCCATGACATGCACTTGAGGGGGCCCTAAGCCCAAGTCACAAACACAGCTCCGGAGCCTAAACCCTCATCTTTGCCTAAACCCTAAGAATAGGGGCCTAAATTATTTGACTAAGGTTTGGGGCCCATTATACTCTAGATTCAATATGGAGCCCCCCAAAATAGTGTCAAAGTAGTAGCGGCAGTTATTTAGGCCCCTATCGTAAAGCCTAAACCCTGTTGGGGGCTGCTTCTCCCTTGGCCGCCCCCCCCCCCCCTTCCCCGTTTAAAGGAACCCGGTGGTTGTCAAAATTATGGTCCCTTCTTGGGTAGCCTACATATTCGGTGCCGGATTAAAATCGGGACCCAAAAACGGACCATGATTTGGACAACCACTGACTTGAAGGGATCCCTACACAGGAGCCTTTCAAGGGCTCCTTTACCCAGTCCCCCGCAAGGATGTAGAAAGTAGATCCTCTAATTTGGGGCCCTATACTACTCAGGGTACCTTATAGGAACCCCCATTAAGGGATCTACTTTGTGGATCCTCTCGGGGCTCTGGGTACATAGGATCCTTTCAAGGGCTCCGTTGGGGGTTCCTTTAAGGGTTCAGGGTTGAAGGGGTTGTTTTGAAGGTGAAGGATTTGCTATGATGTGAATGTAGAACTCTGTGTCCCTCCATAGCTGAAATCAACCTCAGACTTTCTCCCTTCCTTCAGACTGACTTTTCTTGACTGCCCAAGTCCGCACAATCCGTCCTGTTTCTCTCAGGTTCCATCATTCATAAAGTTTCCATACCTGCAAATTGAGGCAAACACCCAAGGAGTGCGCCACCCTGACCCATCATGCCGGGAAGCTCCCGCCCGGAGCTCAATGTTTAGGGTTCAGCCTCCCTAAACCCAGCACACGTTCCTGAAGCCGACTCAGCTGAAGCGGATTCAAGCAGGAAAGCGCTACATACACCCGGCGCCCGCATCCCAAGGCCTCCTCATCCCAAAGGCTGTGAACCCCGTAAGGTAAAAGCCAGAAAGGTGGAATATGATTATCCTAACCCTTCTATGGTAAATTATCGGGGATCCTACCATGAGACCATATTCCAACTTTCTGGAGTTCCCTGTAGATTTCTACACGCGACACGTGGCTGAAGGCATCAGAGGCACCGTGGCAGCGTGTCGTCCGTAAGGGGCCCTTTCTGCAGCAGAAGAGCCTGGGAACAACGCTGGCAACTTCCCTAGGACTCCACTATGCCTTTATTAAGGAATATACCTTGAAGTATAGTAGCATCCCTAATGTGATTTAAAGAAAGTTCTTTCATTAAGGGGCTTTGGAGTCTCTGGGTTCACGTAAAATGTCGGTCGCGCTGTGGTGCTGGCGCCGATGACTGTTTGACGATGGCTGGCCATTACCAACCATTACCACCACCAACACCACCGCCGCCGCCGCGACCAACCAACCCACCACCCACCACACCCACCACCACCACCACCACCACCACTACCACCATCACCACCACCAACAACAACAACCACAACCCAATCATGCTCATAGTCGTCGCAACATCGTCATCATCAGCTCCTACAGACGACTACGACTACGAATACGACTACTGTTTCGACGACCATTATGGCCTATGCTTAATGTTGCCGGTTTTTGTACTTCTTCTACCACTGCCGCTACCACCACCTTTGAAGCTGACAATTGCAGCCGGCGTAGCAGGGAATTCGTCGCAACCCAACTCGTTGACAACATACTCCTGCAGGGCGGTCGGAGGCCCCGTGAGGTTTAAGTTTAAGGATTTTGCGCTTCAGAGTCCGTTCTTGTCGTGGAAGGTTCTTGGTTCGGACATAAGCGGCGCAAGGCTTACTAGTTCATTGTTGGGGTAGGATTAAAGATGTACATTTTTATTCCTTATTGGGTTTAAGTACCCATAAAAATGTAAAATGTTGCCTAACTGTGACAAAGCTTAAGATTCCACGTAAGCTCCAGGCCAGGGCTAAGGTGTTCCTTCCTCCGCCAGGATTTCGAGTTTGGGGCTGAAGGCTTAGGGTTTAAGGCTTAGGGTTTAGGGCTAAGGGGTTTAGGGTTTAGGGGCTTAGGGTTTAGGGTTTAAGGGTTTAGGGGCTTAGGGTTTACGGTTTAGGGGTTTAGGGGCTTAGGGTTTAGGGTTTAGGGGTTTAGGCGCTCTTTCAGAAAGCCGAAGACCTGTGCTGGCATTCATGTTCAGAAATTCCCAACCGTCTCTTGCTTGCAAGGGCCCTTAGAACAACCCGCAACAAGGGTTCACACCGTCCCCAGAGATTCTACGTGCATACCCTGAGCTGAAAACTGCATAAGCGGGCATACATCCAGAACCCGAAGAAGAACCGGTGCTTTTGGGGCTTCCGACATGTTCGAGCTTAGCTTAGGGTTCAGAATCCCTAGGCCCTAAACCCTATAAACCCTACAACCCTAGACCCTAAACTCCAAGCCCTAAACCAAAAAAGTCGTTTAGAAGTAAGGCCTTTAAGGCCTTTAGGGCTTAGGGCTTAGAGTTCTCTGAGTTGGTACCCGGGCAATGCATGCTAATCTTCCAGAATCCAGCTCGAGGTTTCTTAAGCCTGGACCCTAAACCCTTAAACCCTAAACCCTAAACCCTAAACCCCCTAAACCCTTAAACCCTAAACCCTAAACCCCCTAAACCCTAAACCCTCTAAACCCTAAACCCTTAAACCCTACACCCTGAACCCTAAACCCCCTAAACCCTAAACCCTTAAACCCTAAACCCTTAAACCCTAAACCCTGAACCCCCTAAACCCTAAACCCTTAAACCCTAAACCCTTAAACCCCGAAAGCTGCAAGGGTTTTCGTGATGCGGATGCTGTGATTGGGACCCCTACTTTCTCTGGAGCTCCCAGTTCTTTTTTCTTGTTCCGCCTGGCAGACTGGGACCGCTAAACCCTTAATGGGAACTCCAGAAAGTTGGAATATGGTTTCAGGCTAGGATACCCTATAATTTACCACAGAGTCAATCATATTCCAACTTTCTGGCTTTTAACACCTCCTTCTGATGGACTCTCAGAACGCCCCAGCACGATTACCCTTGTAACTTCGGATCTTGCCTGACTGAAATGGATCCCAAACCCTGAAACCTAAACCCTAAACCATTATTACTACGATGATTGCTGCTATTATTGTCATTACTATCACTGTTATTATTCTTTCTACTCTTCTTCCTTGTTATTACTACTGCCCTGCGTCAAGAGCAACCTCTTCAGGTCCTTGTAGGTGTGAACGTCCACGAAGACGGCCTGGAGCAAAGAGTGCCAGGGTACCCGATTTGGGGGCTCCTTACGATAAGGATCCCACCGCCTTTAGGCTTCTATATTCCCGTCCCCGAGTTTCTGAAACTCCCCTCTGGTGATACTGAGGTCAGAAGATAACAGGAAAGTGAAGAAGACAACGGGAACCGAACGCGTCTTCTCTTGCCTTCACCGAGAATGCTGCTGTAATGTTCTGACGGAAGGAACTGCGCGGAGGATGAGATCACCACTCACCACCACCGTCAGCATCATCAATATGACTATGTCCATCAGGCAAGGTCTTCACCAAAAGCATCATCATCATCGTCTCATCATCGTCTCATCATCATAGTATGTGTGCCATCATCATAAGCACCCCCATGTTATGATTATCGTCATCATCAACAACAACAACAACAAATCTAAATGCAACATCACCATCGACATCATCAGCAGCGAACCATTCTGTAAGTCATGTTCTTCGTGCATTAGACAGCCACATGTGCCGTCCTTCGTATTCACGACCCAAGCCATCATGATTTGCTAGGGGCCCTTGCGGGCGTAGGAGAGGGTAGGGGGCCTTAATGCCCACAATAAGAACCGAACAAGGCCTAAGGAAGTACAGTCCCCTAGCCCCCTCCCCCTTACCCCCCCCCCCGTCAGAATCCTTATGATAAAAGCGGCTGTCCATCATGACGTTCATGTCCACCGGCCTCCTCGCCACGATCTTTAGTGTTATAGTTATAGGTACTTATTTGGGAGTTTCCGAAAATTAGGGGTACCTTTCTTTGGTGTCCTCAAAATAAGGATCCTACTATTTAGGGTACTATATTAGGGTCCCCGATTTTCGGAAAGATCAACACGTCGCATCCTGGACTCCCCACTCGAAAGGCAGTGTTTCAGGAGCGACAGCAACAACGGCCACGCCAGAAACAACAGCGACAATGGCGACAGCAACAAACTGCAGCAGAACTTATCTTTGGTTAGTAGGGAATGGAAGACTGGTAGCAATAGTGGTGATAGTGGCACTCCATTCCCCACTAACCAAAGGTAAGAGAACCATGGCAGCATGACGATCGACAGCAGCATGACCACGGTTATCGTCGTCGCACACTTAACCCTGAAGCCTGAACCCTAAAGCCAAAACCCTCTTTCGACCCCTTGCGGCCTTGATATTCTCGAAGCCGTCCGCCACTGCTCGCAGCATCTCCGCATGCTCCCAGGCCTACACGAAAGCCAACAGAAGGACCAAGTTTCCATGGCTGTGCATTGCTCATCGCACCAAACCCTAAAGCCTTAACTTCCTCGAGAGATTCGCCAGCTACGACGTCGAACCCCTGATAAGGAAAGCCTGAACCCTCAAACCTGCAATCCTCGGACTCGCTGCTTTGGGACTCTGACCGCTCAGCCCACACACTCAGAACTTGGGCGGTAAGGCCTTATGGCTGTTCCGCTTCACCTTGAACACTACCGAGACATCTTCAGGCTGGCAGATGATACTCCCTTGGTGTCCTTACACTGCTGATGTCAATGACACTGGGGGTTAGGGCTTAGGGTTTAGGGTTAAGGGTTTTAAGGTTTAGGTACATCGCTACCGTGCAAGTCCTACGAGTCCTGTACAGTTAGTCTACAACATGCCGATATGGCGATATGGGTAGTTGTCAAGATTAAGGTCCCTTTTTTGGGTACTCTAAATAATAGGTGCCGTAGTATACTAGGGACCCAAAAGCCGGACCATAATTTTGACAACCACCCATATGCTGATATACCCCCGGAAAGTTGCCTGCTCCAAACAGCGCGAGCGAGAGCACGGAGTGCCGTCTGTGCCTGAAAGCGCGGAGTATCGGTCACGAACTTACACACATACATAGAAATATAGATAGAGCGACAGATAATCAGATAGATAGATAGAGTGTAATAAGATGTTCGGGCCTGCGTTCTTGGAATCTTGCTGTCGGGTTTGATTGGGGCCTTGGGGTTGGTTCAGGATCTTGACCAAGGTTGTGCTTGTAAGGAAGTATCCAAGGGTAAAAGGCGGGGCCCTTAATAAGGACCCCTAGGTATAGACCCTAAATATAGCGGTTAGATACCCATTAAAAAGCCCATTATAGGGTAGGGGTCACCATTAAGGGTCCCTCCTTTTCCCCTTTCATTCGCCAGGCTGGTCCGGCCAGGACCCGAGTCAAGAGATGGCAACATACAGTTGATGATATAAATCCTGCATGACCCATAATAAGGAATATACCATAATTCCCATAGTTTGGGGTCCTTAAGGTAATGCAGGACTTATATCATCAAAAAGTAGGGGCCTTCATCGTGAGAAGAGGGTTTTGGGGGTACGTTGTAGTAGAAAATATGAAGATCGATCCCTGGGCTGTTCATTGGCGGCCTTCTACATGGTTGCGAAGGTGTTAGGGATAACCCAAAGACCAAGGGCTACCTCATCGAGAGTCCCTGAAAACGTGTGCCTCTATTTTGGGTGGGCACATTGTGGTACCCAAGTTCGCTGAAACTCTCCTCTGGATTGTCTGTCTCAACCTGGCTTTGCAAGAGTCAAGCAACCTTTCGAAGCCCTAAACCCTAAACCTTAAGCCCTAAACCCTAAGCCCTACACCATGAAGTTTCCGAAAAAGCAACCCTGCATTCTCAAATCCTGACCTTTCAAGATCTAAACAAGCAGGCAACCCCGCTTAAACCCTAAACCCCGAGGCTCATGCGGAAGCCTAAACCCTAAACTGGAGCAAAGGAGCTGTTGGCAAAGAGCGCCCAAAGAAGCGCGTCAAAGTTTCCACTCTCCTTGTCCAGGCTTCGTTTGAGATTGGCGTGGGATTCATGCAGAGCTGCCTCTCGAAGAGTGTTGGTTTTTGCGATGGGCAAAGCAGTGCAATACCTTGGATACCCTAGCATGGGGGTCTTTATAATTAGCATACGGTTTGAGTGGATATTCCAGTAAACTTATACAGGGACTACAATGGTACACCGTTACTGTAACTTGTCCTGCTTCTTAGCTTCCGCCCTCGATAACCATGGTACGGTTGATGATATAAATCCTGCATGAGCCATAATAAGGAATATACCACAATTCCCATAGTTTAGGGCCATCAAGGTAATGCAGGATTTCTATCCTAAACCCTAAAACCCCTATAGATCCCTTTAAAGGGAACCCCTTAAAGATACCCTTATAGATCCCTTTAAAGGGAACCCTAGGATTTATGTCATCAACCGTATCTTCAGGCCTACTTTAAAGCAGAGCTCATGGAGCTGACAGGGCCCGAAAGCCTTAATATGTGAGTCCTTAGATCCCTCAACCTATAGATCCCTTTAAAGGACCCTTATAGATCCCTCAACCTATAGATCCCTTTAAAGGACGCTTTATAGATCCCGGTCTAGGGTTTAGGGTTCATGTCTGAGGGCTTGGAGATCGGAGTTTAGGGCCTCAGGTATACCCAAAGACTGTAATACCCTACTAGGATACCCAGTAACCTAAGAATAAAAAGGCCTCTCTTTTTGGTATTGGGTAACTTTATAAGGAACCTAGGACTACAAAAAGGGAACAAGGGTACTACTGGAGATCCTAGTAATGAAGGGACCTCATAGTCGAGATGAACGATCTCTCGCTGAGGCCCTGCACCCTGAACGATTTAGGGTTAAGGTTTTAGGGTCAAGAAGTGTTTGCACAGACATAGTCTACACCGACGATTCCGCGCCCTGCCCTCCAGAAGTATGGAAAAACCAGGCCCGCGACCCGATCATAGTCTCAAATGAGCCGCTCCAACATGAAAGCGCGCAACAAAGGAACAGAACGCTGAAGACCTTGGAGAAACCTGGCAAACACCTAGGAATATCACAAATACTGTGTGCACTGGTTCCTGCCGTTGCCGTTATCGTCACTGCCAGCGTTACCACTTCCATCGTTTCTCACTGTCATTGCTAGCAGCCGGCCTTCACCTCTACTTGCCACTACTGCAATGGCTACTACCACACCCTAAACCCTAACCCCTAACCCCTAACCCCTAAACCCTAAACCCTAAACCCTAAACCACCACCACCACCACCACCACCACCACCACCATTCTCGTGTTTATACATTTGCTGGCATTGCTACGCATTCCCACACTGCGGCTTGGTACGTATGCGGCCGACGTCCGGTAAGCCCGGGGCATAGTGAAAGAAGTTTTCCTGGTGCAGGGCGTGACGATCCAGTCTACTCAACCCCTAGGACTGAAACTCACACGGGTCTTGATGATCCCTTTGTAGAACCGGCAATGCTTCTCCTAGCCCTCTGATCTCAAAGACCGACCCGGCCTCAATATGCAGATTATTTTTGGCTTCGGGTCCTAAGGTCTGGGAGGTTCTCCGTCTCGTGGAGTTCGGGAGTCCCGGTTTGAGCTCGCAGCTCTCGGGCTCGGGCTCCCCCCGCATGAGAACCACAGAAAGCTCTACCGTTTGAAAAAAAGGGCCTTCGCAATATTTAGAATAGGGTTTTGGGGTATATTATACTATCATACAATAAGGAACCCCCAAAATAGTATAGGCTTTGCGGTCTGTGGATTCAAGGTTTATTGCCCAATGTTTGGGGGTCCTACGCGCTCAGGATTTATGGATCGGGACACGAGACAAAAGAGCCTGAGCAACGAGGCTGCATCCTCTTGTCGCTGGCGGAAATCATTGGTTCAGGAGCCCTAAACCCCAAAACCCCAAAAACCCCTATTTTTTCGGATGTTCTTTGTCTCTTCTTTTCCCGAAAGCATCGCGAAGGGTTCTTCCGTGCGAAGCCCTTGAGAGAAGTACATAGAGTGAAGTACATCGAGTGAAATGCATAGTGCATAGTACATAGAGTGAAGTGCATAGTACATAGAGTGAAGTACATAGAGGGATGTGCATCGAGTGAAGTGCATAGTGCATAGAGTGAACTACATCGAGTCAAGTGCATGGTACATAGATGACTCCATGACTCTATCTCACTCTGACTCTCTCATTCTATGATTCTATGACGCTATGACTCTATGACCCTATGACTCTATGACTCTATGACTCTATGACACTCTGACTCTGTGACTCTATGACTCTGTGCTTTTGACTCTATCCGACTTATCTACATCTCGGTATATAATCTCTCTTTCTAAAGTCAGGGTGGCACCGTCGTCATCGATCGGGAACGCAACCCGTCACAGGGATTGGCCCGGTCGAGTGCCCAAACGTGTGGGAAAGTCACAACTCTTAGGCGCCACGCGCAACCCTTCACAGGGATTGGCGTGGTCGAGTGCCCAAACGTGTGGGAAAGTTACTACTTTTCGGCGCTGTTAGGCGCCATTCGCAAACCCTTCACAGGGATTGGCGTGGTCGAGTGCCCAAACGTGTGGGAAACTTACTACTTTTCGGCGCTCTTAGGTGCCATTCGCAACCCTTCACAGGGATTGGCGTTGTCGAGTGCCCAAACGTGTGGTAAAGTTACTACTTTTCAGGGCTCGTAGGCGCCATTCGCAACCCTTCACAGGGATTCGTGTGGTCGAGCGCACGAACGTGTGGGAAAGTTACAACTTTTAGGCGCCACGCGCAACCCTTCCCAGGGGTTCGTGTGGTCGAGTGTACGAACGTGTGGGAAAGTTACGTACTATTTTTGCGGTGCTTTGCGGTGCTCGGGAGAGAAGTACATAAAGTGAAGTACATGGAGTCAAGTGCATAGTACATAGAGTGAGTGGAGTACATCGAGTTACGTGCATGGTACATAGAGTGAAGTACATAGAGTCAAGCGCATAGCACATGGAGTGAAGTGCATCGAGTTACGTGCATAGTACATAAAGTGAATGGAGTACATCGAGTTACGTGCATAGTACATAGAGTGAAGTACATAGAGTCAAGTGCATAGTACACAGAGTGAAGATGTACTTGACTCTATGACTCTATGTACCTGTGTACCTGACTTATGTGTTTGACTTTATGCACTGGACTGGACTAGACTAATATGACTCTATGTACATGTACACTTGACTCTATGACTCTTTAGGGTTTAGGGTTTAGGGCCTACTTGTTTAAGGCTGAAGGTTTAGGGTTTACTGCTTTAAGGTTTAGGGCTTAAGGTTTAGGGTTTATAGGCATTGGTTCACCAATAGTAAACCAATAAACCTCGAGATTTTCGTTTGTTTCAATCATTCAAGAAAAACTTGAGGTTTGGGGACCCTTGAACCGGAAATTTGACGCCAGCCCAAAAGAGACACCTCCAGTATTAAAGTTCGTATACAAAAATCGGTTTAACCTGGGGGACTCTATGCATCTATGCATTGGACTATTTGACTCTATGGACTTGACTCTATGCACTGGACTATGCACTTGACTCTATGCACTTCACCGTATGCAGTTGACTTCATGTACTTGAGTTTATGCACTGATTCGAGAGCTCTGACAACATGGAGTGAAGTACGCAAAGTGAGGTACATATAGTGAAATACATAAAGTCAAGTACATCGATCTCGGCATTAATATGTACTTGATGACTTTATGCATTTCACTCTCTGACTCTATGATTCTACGCACTGGATTCTATGACGTATCGCAAAACGCTTCGCTAATGATGCTTTCGGGCCAATTGTCTTCAAGTAACTAGAATCTAGTTTCTTTAAAGCCGCCTCGGCCACCTCCCCGAAGCTCGGGAGCAGCGCGCTCCGGAGCACCGAGGGCAGAGTGCCCTCGAAGTCCTCGAAGGCCCGGGGATAGGGCTCCTTAACCTTTAAGGTTTTAGGGTTTAGGGTTCCCCGCAGAGCCCAATAGCCCTTAATTAAGGAATATAGCTTAAATCAGAATATGAACCCCCTTATAGTTTAAGGTATATTCCTTATTTAAGGGGTGGGCTCTCTGGGTTCTGGAGTTCGTGGGTTTAGGGTTTACGGTTTGGGGTTTTAGGACCTAGGGTTCTGGAGTTTTACCGTCGTCAGGGTTGCAATAATTGGAACAGGATTTTGCAGGTGTTGCCGTGTGGTAAGGGTGCTATAGGCACGTTATAAGCGCCTCATACGGTCATACGTAGCGCTTCATAGGGTTCATTAAACGGCCTTTGGGTGTTGGGATGGTGCGAAGACGATACTGTCAACTACCCCAAACCCTAAACCCTAATTCCTGCCGGCTTGATTGGTCACCTTGCTCTGCCGAAAGCTGCCGAAAGAAGCACCTGTTTTCTTCGCGGGCCGCACCAATCGAGATGTGCAGAAAAGCCGAAGGCATCCGAGAGTGTACAAGTGGAGCCGAAGGCGAAACGTACCCGCAGCATGATGTCAACCAAGCTGCGGCCTGAACCACCATCCGAGAGTGTACAAGTGGAGCCGAACGCGAAACGTACCCGCAGCATGATGTCAACCAAGCTGCGGCCTGAGGTGGCGGGGTGGTGGTGGATCCTGAACAAAAGACTTGAGAGCAGAGGACCCGGCGACCATCCTGATGCACATGCTTGTCCGATCAACCTGTGGATCAGGAACACAAAGTCAGGAATGCTGATTTCCAATTCCTGCCGGCTTGATTGGTCACCTTGCTCTGCCGAAAGCTGCCGAAAGAAGCACCTGTTTTCTTCGCGGGCCGCACCAATCGAGATGTGCAGAAAAGCCGAAGGCATCCGAGAGTGTACAAGTGGAGCCGAAGGCGAAACGTACCCGCAGCATGATGTCAACCAAGCTGCGGCCTGAACCACCCAACCCACCCACTGGGCCAGCTGCGAAGCACCTGAAGGAGCAACAAAAACAGCGTGAGGTAGTCCACGGGCCGGGTCGGGAGGGCAACCGTCACGGTCTGAGGCGGGCCGAGCTCCGCGGAGGGCTGCACGGACTGTGGCGATGACAGCGGCACGACTGCTGCCGCCGGCACCTGGGATTCCACCCAGGCGTTATACAACCATTCAATGATCTGGGACTCCAGGTCAGCTGCCAGCAAAGCCATTTGCGTGAGCAGCTCCTTCATGATGCTACCACTCAGACGCATCAGGAGGCTTGCCACTACCCTCACGAACATCGCTATTAGAAAGGCAAGGAGTCGTGGGAACATGACCACCAGTAGCAGCAGGCCCAGAGTCTTCATATTCAGGCGGCTCATAAGCATTCCGAGCAGCCGTCGATGCTGAGGCCTAGCCGAAGTTGCCTCGTTTCCATCCACACCTCCACGTAGTGGCCGAGCATGAACTGGACGCAAAGGTTCGGCTGGAGGTTCGGCAGCACCACCAGTTGAACCAAAACTGGGAAACACCGAGGCTAACCCTTGGCTAAGTCGGGCCAAAACGGCAGTCAGCCGCCGTCCTTCTGGCCCTGAGCGCCAACGAGCCGCCGACTGTGTACTGTCGTTGTTTGCTAGCACCTCCGCTGCAGTCAGGCCTTGAGCAATCTCCTCATTGCCCAGGGCAGTGGCCGCCTGTGTCATCGCCGTTCGCAGGCACTCCGCTGCCCGTGACGGCCCACTCACAACCGCAGCATGGGGAGCGGCACGCGAGCGCTCGAGCCGGATGATCGGCCGCCGACGAGGCTCGCTTCCAATGTTTTCCATTGGCCACGGAACAAGCCCACGCTGGTCACAACCACGGAGACTCCACCTGCAGCTCTTCAAGGGCGTCCGCAAGCTCCCGCAAGGCAAGCACCACCCGCTCGGTCATGACGAAAGCAGATCTAGCAATCGAGCCGGCGGCGGCGCATGCAGTCGTTGAGCATGCTGGTGCACCATGTGCTGAAGCTCGACAGCACGATCAGTGAAGTTCATAGCCGTGTACATGGAAAACGCATCGTGCAAGTAGTGACGTAAGGTGCTGGCCTTTGACCACCGGCCCATGTATTGGAGGGCCGCGAGGTTTTCCTTTTCGCGGAAAACATGTGTGGCCCCTCCTGCCCTCATAGATGCTGGCGTAAAACCTACACCGGCGAGGTCGAGAGCCTCGAAACCAGACTTGAAAACTGCCGCCCACTGGTGCCTCTCCCAAGGAAACAGCCGCTTTCCCCGCTGATGGCCATCACGCCACCATCGCATCCACTGGATCACCCCATCGTCTTTCACCAGCACGAACTGGGTTTTGTAAACCCGGCGAGTTTTTGGTCTACGAATCACTAGCACCATTCCCGGTGAATCCATGCCGGCTGCGCCGTCCATTGGTAACGTGACATCCTCGAACCGAAGGTTATACACTTCACCCGGTCGTAGCAAGGCACTAAAACTCAGCCACGAGCCCACCATGACACTCCACCACAAATACCGTGCACGGCCTCGGGCCTGGAAACCCTTGGCAAGGCACACTAGCAAAAACGATTGCAATGTGTACAATGTGATCGGCAATCTCGATTGACTAGGTGCCAGGTGCCTCCATGCCTTCAAAGCCGACCACGTGCCCGGCAACGTCGCTCCTGAAACTCTCCACAATCTCTGCAACCCTAGCACTCCAAGCGTGACATAGTACAACCGTTCCCCACTGCGATGCGCATGTTCCACAGCCTTCTCGAGCCATCGATCGATCACCCTGGGAGGCGAAGTGCGATAGAGTTTCCCACCACATCGCCCCACACGGTTGAACAGGTCGGCGGCCGCCTCCCGTAGTCGACGTTTATAGTCCTGGCTCAGCACCGCGTCCCGAAGTCGCGGCGCCATGAACCCATACCCCGAGGGCTTCAACGAGAGCTTCACAGAACTTTAGCGGATGCCCTCCCCCACCTCGAGCCGGTAGGTTTTGAGTGGGCACGGCATGTTGATGATTTCCCCGGCAGGTTCTGAGCACCCCATCATAATGCATCCAAGGCAACGTGAAGCACAGCTTTGAGGCCCTCTTTGTGGGTGCAGGCTCCCCCACAGGCCAAGGCAACCCCCCCCTTCTCGGCCCGAGAATGGGGGGGTTGGAAACACCATACGCACACCAATGAACGACTTGCACCGACACATCACCTCTCGCACACAATTTCTGGGTCTCTGGCAGAAGCCAGGCTCTCGACGAGGCCGGGTGCTCCAGAACGAAGAAGGCACCGACCTGGTCCGCAAAGTGAGCGAGGTAGAGCGCGCGGCTCCACAGTGCATTCCCCTTCCTGACCTCAGGCCGACGCTCATCTCCTTCCGGGCAGTCCGCAGGTCGATGTGGTCCTGTCACACAAAGGTTTCGAAGGGGAGAGAAGGACGACGCTGGAGGCTCCAACCAGATCCACTGCACGAGGCCTGCCGCCAACATGCCCTCGATGGCCGGGTCAAAGACGCCCAATCCTGTCGAGGGCTCGATAGCCGGGTGCATGGGGAAGCCCGCAGCCTCGTGCGCCTGGGTCAAGCGCGCCTTGCCACCGAAGATCTCGAGCCCCCAAGGAGCATCACCTGGCAGTCCAAACGAGTGCATCCACGCCGGGGGCACCCTAGGCGCAGGCAGTGAAGAAAAGCGTGATGGGTGGTCTGCCGGGTTGGACTGAGTCTCAGTCCAGAGCAAAGCGACGGTCACGTCGCCAAACAGCAGATAGGGAACCAACGTTCTTAGCAAGCCATTCACTTTGAAAGAAGATGAACGCCCTTTTGCCACGGCCCCCACGGTGACGTTGGAATCATTGACAAAGAGCTGGACCCTGCCCCGCTGAGAAAACGTGCTGGCTATCCGACACACTTCCCGCTTGAAAGCTCTCAACTCCTGAAGATTGATGTGAGAGGTCTGGCGAAACGTGTAGCTGGCGATCACTCGCCACCTCAAACACTCACATAGCGAACTGGCGAACTTGCTGGGCTCCTTAGGCATTGAGGCACTCGCGGCAAAGTCTTCAGCGCGATCCAATCGCACCGGGGACCCGCGTACCTCTGATCGCCGCCAAAGCTCCTGGGCCAAATCAGGTGAAATCTTAGCCGAGGTGGCTCCACCACTAGTGGGTGTAGCATCGGTTGCAATGAGTTCCGAGCTGATCTCCTTCCGCATGTGCCAGACTGCAAACGGGAGGTGCAGAGCAATTGACCTAAGTTCGTCAACGATGTGGTTCGGCAGCCGGACCCAGCGCTCACTCTTCATGCCCTCTATGTACCTATAGACGTGGTGCTGCAAACTGTAGAACTCGCGCCTGTACTGGAAAATGAAGCACACGAACCCGAGGACCCTCTGCAAAATTTCCTTCGTGCAAAAACCGAGGTTGACAATCTTCCGGAGAATCTGCCACACTTGCCTACGCACTTCTAGTGGAGCTCCTGCGCGCCCTTGCACCCCATCAATCTCTGCGCCCCAGGCCTTGAACTGCGTAGCACAACGAAAAGCTTTATGCTCAGCACGGCTCAGGTTGGCCTTGTGATAGGCTCGCTCCGCGGCCGCAGTCAAGACAACATCCGGGTCCTCAGGCAAAGGCTCGGGTGGCACGAAGATGCCGTCCAAGGGGGTCGCATGTTCCAACAACACCTTGTAAGCAATCAACAAGTCGTCTAAATAAGCGCCTTGCCAAATCCGCCCACGAGGAACTGGCTCGCCATAAACCAAGGTACTGTCAGGTGAGAGCAGACCCTCACTACGAAGCACAGCCTCGTGCGTCGCTTGAGCTATGGCACACCCGTTAACATCGCCCATCCCCAGAACCCGTAAACAGGCCCTGTGCGGCACCGAAGGATCGCAGCCCGCCTCGGCCAGCAAGCCCTTGTCCACTCGCCGTCCGAAGCCATTGAACCTAATCCACTCAGGCGGCAGGGCAAGGGTATAATAGTAGTTGCGCAAGTCGTCGCCTGATCCACGCAAGATCTCGTTGTCGGCAAGCAACAGCCGGCAAAAGCAAGCTCCTGCCGGCAACTTGGCCCAATCGAGACGGTCCATCGTCGCATTCTCCGGCCTCCGATCAAAAATCAAGCGGTCCTCCTTGTCATTCTTGCGCACGGCGAAGAGGCCACCCAAAAGTAGTCGGCCGTCCTCGCGCCGGGGAAGTTCGCTCTCTGGCACAAGTTCCACCATTTTGGCGGCCAACAAGCGCCGCAGCAGAGGTGTTTCCTCTTGCACCGGTACCCTGTGACAGGACTGCACTTCCTCACCCCACAAGGCCTCAGGTCGTCGGAGTCGGTGAAGATTCGCAACCACCTGCGCCCGGGCTCCATCCAAGATTTGTCTGGGATCCACCTGCCCAGCCTCCTCAGGGACCGCAACACGGTCTGCCACCACCGGCAGGGCCGTCGACAGCCTCTGATTCTCCACTCTAACGACACCACTGTAGCATGCACCTGTACCGGAGGCCACAAGGTCCTCCAAATCCTTCCGCTTGCCCTCACAACTTAGTGCTCCAGACAAGACCTCAGGACTGCTAAAATTAGCCACCTCGCCAAGCAGCTTATCGGCATACGGTCGGATGCCCTCCACACTTCTGTGGGCCACTCGCGGCTCAAAAGCACTTCCCTCCCCATCAGGGCACCCTAGCACCACAAAATTAGACCAGGCCACCAACGTATTAACGAACCCGGCCCCACTGCAGAGCATCCGGCGACCCAGCTCGGCCACGCAAGCCGATCACCTCAGGATAAGGAAGAGCACTGGGAAAAAGTGGCGCGTCGGCACTGGACCGCTCCAGTAGGTAACCATGGGCACGTTCCAGCCACGCGAGATACTTCATAAATCGGGTTGAATTCCGGCCAGGCAAGGCAGGGTCAACAAAGGCCATGCCGCCCGACCCATGCACGTTCAGGTCGAGACTCACTTTCGGTGGCCCTTGCCACCCTCCTCCACGTCCTCGTCGCCGTGGTCCCGGGCCCCCGCTTCGCGGACCTTTTTCTTTAGCTTGCTGAGCGCCTCCATGTAGCCGCTGACGATGGCCATCTCCTCGCGGGTACCGGCGAACTCCCGGCGGCTCAATGGGTCTGCCAACCCCGTCAGGAGCCAGGCCGCCTCCCAATCTCCGCCAGACATCACTGCCTGGAGCTTCGCCTTGATGTTCTGGGCCAGTTGTGCGGTGGCACTCTCTGTCTCCCCGGCCCTCAACATCTCGTAGACCGCTGCGTCCATCACCGCGCACCGGTAGATGCCCTTGAACTTGCCCCAGCTCTGCTTCTTCAAGTAGTCCTTGATCGTCCACGCCTGACCGGCAATGATTCCCATATCCTCCACGATCTCCCGCTCGAACTCGTTGTAGATCTTGCTCGGCCGCTCCTTGATCCGGGCATGGAGTTTGTTTAGAGAAACCACCGCCTTCATTCCAGACTTCTTGAAGTCGGGACCGTCGCTTTCGCTCTCTGAGGACGAACCACCAAGGAGTGAAACGCCCCGATGCTTGTTCTTCTCGCCCTTCTCGCCCTTCATCAGCATCGCCAGCATTGCAAGCGGAAGCATCTCCGAGGCACTCTGACCTTTCGAAATCCCTTCCGCCAGGAGGCTTCGCAGATCCAGGCCCTTCTTGTCCTTCTTCTTTGCCTCCTCGGCGCGGCGGCCCATGGCCGCGGCCCCCGGCGCAAGCACTCGCTGACTGCTGCTGGCGGCTGCGGTCAGGTCTGGTTCGTCCTCTTGCTCGTCCTCCTCGCTGTCGCTGCCATCCTCGAAAAGGTGGGACAAATCCTGCATCTCTCGCTGAAGGCCCTTCTTCGCAGGCTTCTTCGTCGCCTTCAGCCGAGGCGCTTCGGCCTCGCTGCTGCCTAGGTCCTTTCCATCCACTTGTCGCCATACAGCCCTGGCGACTGTCCATGTCGGCAGTGAACTTGGCGGGTTGCCCTTCCACACGGCCGGCTGGGATGCGGCAACACTGGACTGCGGAACCCGCACGAAGATCAGTTTCTCGGCGCCGCTTTTGCCTTCAACCGACCCTGGGATCTTTGCAGAAGACTCTGAAACAGCTGTGCCGACCACTACTTCGTCATCTATGAATTCCACTGTCCAGCCACAAATCGGGATGGTCTCGTCTCGAGCCCCTTTAAGGTTCAGAAAGACCAGCTCTCCTCCAGCCATGGCTGGAATCTCTATCCTGAACAAAAGACTTGAGAGCAGAGGACCCGGCGACCATCCTGATGCACATGCTTGTCCGATCAACCTGTGGATCAGGAACACAAAGTCAGGAATGCTGATTTCCAAACCCTAGAGATCCCTTAAACGATCCCTTAAAGGAGCCCTAGGTAGTCCTTTATTCAGGGGTATTGGGTTCACTGGGTATGTAGACCCGTTTCTTGCGATCGCAGGTTTGTGTTTCGTGTGAGTCTAGAGTAGAGCGCGCAAGCGTCCGTGAGAGCATAGAGAATCAAGATGTTTCGGGTGTTGCGATCTTGGAGATAAGGGGTTTATGGCTTACGATTCTCCGGTCTACTTCTTAGCGCTTCAGTGGCTGGGGTTCAGGCATTGGTGCTCAGATCGGTTGTTGTAGCTTGGAGTGGCTTGACCGATACTTTAGGATTCCCGGCTTACTTGAAGGCTGAGGAAAGTTGGGGTCCAATACAGGGCCTGCATAATTAGGGGCCCATTATACTATAGCTATAATATGGAACCCCAAAGTAGTATAGGTAGTTACTCAGACCCCTAAATTAGGCTTCTAGTGCTTCGGCTCGGGGAGACCCGCCAACGCTCGAAAGCTTCTTCGTTAGCGCCAAGTGGGGCTCGCGCGTAGGTGGTTTTCGCGCTGGACACCAACCCCATTCCACAGGCACCCTAGACTCTCCCGAAATCCGATGACCCTGACCAAACCAGAAAAAACCCAAACCCTCAACCATCAACCAAACTGCGGAGAGCGCCGCTGACCATTTGCATGGGCGCTCGAGGCTCCGACCGAGGTATCGGCCGAGCGTCCCGACAAGACGGTGAGGGAGGGTAAAGCCTCCCGGTATACGGGGACGGAAATGACTCGGCTACGCCTCACACAATACGGACGTCAGTCCGTTGACCCCAAACCCCTCACCATTGCTGTCTTTTTGGATCTGCCTGGGGGCGGCCCTCCAGAAGGGGAGCCCCCCAGGCGCTCCAGCGAGCAGAGTTCAAGCACCCAGGGGCCTCCAGGTGGGTCCTAGGGGGGGACTTGGACAAAATTGCAATTTTGATGTTTTTTTGGTCCCTGCCTCCTGCCCTGCCCTGCCCCGCCCTGCCTGCCCTGCCCTGCCCTGCCGTGCCTGCCCTGCCCTGCCGGGCCTGTCCCATCCCGCGCCTGGTCTGCTGCCCTGGCCCGCCTGCCCTGCCCTGCCCTGCTGCCCTGCCTGCGCTGCCTTCTGCCCTGGCCTGCTTTTTCGCTTTGCCTTGCCTTGTTCACACTTCGAGCAGCCCTTACAGGGCGCGACAACCAAGTTGTTTGTTGGAAACGCTTCTTTTCGTCGAGCGGCCGGCACAGGCCGCGAGGACCCACAACCCGACAGCAATCCATTTCAGCTGTGATTTCTGGAGAAATATTGTTGTTTACATGTCGAGCTGCGAAAGGAAGCAGAGAGCAAGAAAGCCCCCCTTGAGGGGGGTTTGGGGGGTGAACCCTAAACCCTAATTGAGAATAGTTGGGGTGGTTGGGGCGGGACTACATGCTGACGCAAGCGCGCGATTAGTGGGCGCGCCCCTTATTCCTAAAGTAAAAGGCGCACCCACCGCGCGCATACGGTTACACACCCTAAACCCCAAACCCTTAACCATTAACCCTAAACCCAAAACCCTTAACCCTTAAACAAACCCTAAACCCCAAACCCTCAACCATGAACCCTAAACCAAAGCAACTTCGTAACAGGACCCCAGAGCAGAAGCGCCAACCGCAGAGACAAGCAGCGGGATTGTCGAGGGCGGCCTGCAAAGCGTTGCGCTTCATTGCTCTAAAGGCTGCTGCCCCCACGTAGCATCGGGGGTCATATTAACGGCTCTCTCTCTCTCTCTCTCTCTCTCTCTCTCTCTCTCTCTCTCTCTCTCTCTCTCTTCTCTCTCTCTCTCTCTCTCTCTCTCTCTCTCTCTCTCTCTCTCTCTCTCTCTCTCTCTCTCTCTCTCTCTCTCTCCCTATATACATACATACATATATATATATATATATATATCACATATATATACATATATATATATATCCACAGCGAGAGAGAGAGAGAGAGAGAGAGAGAGAGAGAGAGAGAGAGAGAGAGAGAGAGAGAGATTGTGAATATTATTGTCTAACTGTACAGAGTGGGCGCAGTACCCAAGCTCTAAACCTTGAGGTTGGGATCCAAAGGCCAAGCGATCGACCCCAACATGAACCAGATCAGGCACGGGAGTAGGAAGTGGATTACTCGATTGTACAAGAAGAAGGACACATCCTCACCGAGACGCCCCGGGGAAAATCCAAAAAGTAGATCCCTTTCTGGGGGTTCCCAGTACATACCCTTAGTGGTATAGGGCCCCAAATTAGGGGATCTACTTTCTAGATCCTCCCGAGGGTCTGGGTAGTGGTGCTCCAACCAGCCTGTTAGGCCCGTTGAACCTGACTTATCTCGGGTCAGCTGCAGGGCGCAGGGCTGGGGGCACAAGGACAGTACCTTCCCTAAACCCCCAATCCTGAAGCCCTCAATCGACTGAAGGAATGAAACGTATCTTCGCCAACAGTCTCTTGAACGATCTTTTGGGATCAAACCCTCAACCCTTAACCCTAGACCCTAAACCCTTAACCCTAAACCCTCAACCCTAAACCTCAACCCTAAACCCTAAACCCCTAACCCTAAACCCTTAACCCTAAACCCTAGACCCTTAACCCTTAACCCTAAACCCAAAACCCTCAACCCTTAGGAAGGCACCTCGATGTTGATGGACTCGCCGAGCCCGTGATGAAGCGAGACCTGGCGCTCTGCTGCGCAGCCAACACGGGTTTTGGGCGTAGGGGGTTTAGGGGGCTCCTTTAAAGGGATCTATAAGGGTTCCTTTAAGGGTTCCTTTAAGGGATCTAAAGGGTTTAGGGTTTTTAGGGTTTAGGGTTTTAGGGTTCAAGGTTCAGGGTGTAGGAGTTTAGGGTTTAGGGCTTCAGGGTTTAAGCTTTAGGATTATGCACTGGACAACAAATGCTGTATGCTATATGTTGCATGGTATATGTTTTTTTGTTAAATGGTAATGGTACATGCTCTATACCTTTGGGGCAAAGCTTGCCACTCCGGAGGGCTTGCAGCTACGGCGTTTGAGGTGCAGGTCGCGGTGTCTGGGCGTCGCAAGTTTAGTTCTAGGGTCTAGGGTTTAGGGTTTCGCGGGCTCGCAGCCAGCCATGTAGCAGCGAGGGTCGTTCTGTCGAGAAGCTCGGATTCGTGAAACTTTTCTTCTTGGCAGCCGGAGGGAACGGTTGATGATGTAAATCCTGCAATACCCATAATAAGGAATATACCATAATTCCCATAGTTTAGGGTCATTAAGGTAATGCAGGATTTATATCATCAACCGGAAGCACCACAGAGTCCCTGTCCGACATAAGTCCTCAACCTGCCAAGAACCCTGAACCTGCCCTAGGTCCGAAACCCTAAACATCTGAGGGGCCTCTGATCTAGGGGTCCGAAATAATTGCGGATACTATATTCTTGGAGGTTCCTTATCATAGTTATAGTATAGTGGGCGCCAAAACCCTATTCTAACCATTAAGGCCCCTACATTACTCCACGTCGGGGCAGGAGCAGCCAATGGTCCTCGCAAATTCTGACCAACCGATCCTTGAAGGATCAGGCCTCTTAGGAAGACGTAGGAGTTTCGGAAATAAGGGGTACCTTTAAAGGGATCTATGAAGGGTTCCTTTGAGGGTTCCTATATGGGATCTTTAGGGTTTAGGGTTTAGGGCTTAGGGGAGTTTCCGAAAATGAGGGGTACCTGATTTTGGGGTCCTTTTCATAAGGATCCTACTTTTTGGGGTAATACATTACGGGCCCCTATTTTCGGAAACCCCCACCTAGTACTAGAACGGAATACAAGTCAGGATACAAGTCCTGTCGTTCGAGTTGGTGGAATTATAACCCTACTCATAACCTCCTTTTGAAGTCCCCTGGTCCCTTCGATTCAATGGCGGAATACCCTCCTAAAACCCTAAACCCACCCCTCAACCAAACCCCAAACCCCTCAACCCCCGAACCCCTGAACCAAACCCTAAACCCTTAAACCCCAAACCGCCAGACCCCTTAAGCCCTAAACCCCCCCAACCCCTAAATCCCTAAACCCCCAAATCCTAGACCCTAAATACTAAACCCTGAACCCTAAACCCCTAAGACTCCAAGACCCTAAAACTCCAAGACCCTAAGACCCTTAGACTCCAAGACCCTAAGACTCTTAGACTGCAAGACGTTAAGACCCCCCTTAAGCCCCCACGGCCTCGCTGGGGCCATGCCCACGGAGGAAGAAGAAGCTCCCCAGCGAGCGGTTGCGCTCGGCCACCCTGCTTGCAGGATCATGGGACTTAGTAGCTAGTACCTTAAACCACAAAAGGATCTCTAAATGTTATTTGAAGTATATTCCTTAATTAAGGGGTTTCGGAGGCTCTGGCCACCCTGCTTAGAGGATCATGGGGCTTGATCTATAAGGGTTACTATTAGGTGATACTTAGAGGATCATGGGACCAAGTAACTAGGCTTCCTATTTAGGGTTCCTGTAAGGGATCTAAGAGGGCCACTATTGGGGGTTCTGTCCGGGTTTGGAGTGGTACTTAGAGGATCATGGGACTTAGCAACTAGGCTTCCTTTGAAGGGCTCCTTTAAGGGATCTATACGGGTTACTATTAGGGGCTCTATACGGGCTTGGGGTGATACTTAGAGGATCCTGGGACTTAGCAGCTAGGGCAATACGCAAGAAACTATACTGTACTTATAACCCCCATTATGGTACTTATACCCTTACTTACTAAGTCCCATGATGCTCCAAGTGTTGAGAGTTAGTTGGGGCTTGGGTGGGGTGTCCGGTGGTCGGGAATTTAAAGTCTGGAGTGTACATTATTATAGTACCCCTATAGATCCCTTATAGTACCCTTATAGATCCTTTATACTAACCATTATAGACCCCTTAGGGTTTAGGATTCAGGATTGGGGATCCAGGGTTCGGGCGCTGGGGGGGAAGAGGGCGTGACATACGGTTGACGGACGGTTGCGCTGCGAAAGATGATACAGGTTTAGGGTTTAGGGTTTAGGGTTTAGGGTTTAGGGGTTTAGGGGTTTAGGGTTTAGGGTTTAGGGGTTTAGGGTTTAGGGGTTTAGGGTTTAGGGCAGCTACAGGCATTCAAAAATAAGATCTTCGGGTACCAGTGAGTAGGATCGTGAATACTGACAAGACAGGTAATGAAATAGCCCTGCAAACGTGCATAACCCCAACGGAGTCGTGTACAACACTAACCGCAAACCCTCATACCTTGAGCAAAACAAGTTGTGGTTTGGGGTGGTTGGATCAAAGCTTCAGGGTTGTAGGGCCTAGTGTAGATGCTTCAGAGAGTTGAAGCAAAAAGCCAACAAGAACCCAGCGACTAACTACGGTTTAGGGTTTAGACTGTAAGCTTTCAGGTTCAGGGCAGAGGGTTTGGGTGTGGGGTCAAGGGTTCGGGATTTAGGGCTGAGATTAGTTAAGAGGCCTGAAAGGTACCGGTGCTGTGGCCATTGACCGTATCCTTAACGTCAAGGGCCAGGGGGCCCTTGAACTCTAAGATAGGGGCCTTAATAACTAGAAAGGGTTTTGGGGCCCAGTATACTATAATTCCATTAAGGATCAGGGAACCCTAAACCCTGAACCTTAAACATACCCTAAACCCTAAGCCCCTAAACCCTAAACCCCTGAACCCCTGAACTAACTCCTGGATCGCTGGCCCTGGCCGTCCAACCTCGACATGGCCTCCTGCAGCTTCTCATCGCCACGTGCCTGAGGTCGCCAAGTCTCCGTGTTCAGGGGCTCTGAATGCCCACCGAGACCCCCAAAAGGATCCAAAAAGTATATCCCTTAATGGGGGTTCCTCTAAAGTACCCTTAGCAGTATAGGGCCCCAAATTAGGGGATCTACTTTCCAGATCCTCCGGGGGTCTGGGTACGTACTTATCTGGGGCCCGGGCGTTTAGGGCTTGAGGGTTCTAGGGTAGTTGTGCTGCAAGATGACCCCCCACCAACAAAAACTATTCTAATCATCCGGGGGGTAAGGGCAATTCATACCTATAATAAGGACTTCATAAGGCCTAGTTAAGGAAGTATAGCCCCCTGCAGGGACCTGCATGAAGATCTTTGGCTTTTGGGCTTGAAGGGCTCCCGGAGACTCCGAAAGCCCTCATAATGGTCCGCATCTCGGGGGTCTTGACGTCTGTGGCTAGTAGAGAGAGTCTCAGAGCCCGAGTAGTATAGGTGCCTTACTAATTAGAATAGGGTTTGGGGGCCCACTATACTATAAGAATAAAACCCCCAAAAATAGTATTGGTGATTCTGTAGGCCCCTTTTGTACTGTTTTCTGGAGGACAGGGTCAGGGGTTTCCGGTGCTGTTTGAAGAGCTTTGTGAAAGGATTTTAAAGGTCAGTGACTTGCTGGCTTGTTAGAGGGTTCAGGGTTTGGAAATTCTTGTGTATCGTTGATAAAGGCGCTTCTTTCGATTCATGTGAAGCAGAGCATTTCGCTTAAAACCAAACCCTTTATAATTATCCCTCAACCCTAAACCTAAACCCTAAACCCCTAAACCCCAATTGTTTGGGCTCTGCTTGAAGACGATTCGGACACCGCCGAATTCGGCGGAGGATGTGGGAGGGTTTGAAGCGACAAGTTGGCCCTACCCGAATTTTGAGGGTGTAGAGTACCCATGAGAGTACCCTAAATCCTAAACCCTAGACCCTAAACCCTAGAGTTTTGGGTAGAGGGTTGCGGCTCTTTCTCTGTCTCGCTCTTTCTCTTGCTTTCTCGAGATTGGTCCTCCGCACGCGGGTGCATACGCAGCGCTAAGACCCCTGAGCATTCCCCTTAGCTAAACATGCTCAACACGTCTTAATGTATACTGCTTCATGATATTGACGACGATGAAATCGCGGTTGAACCCGCAACCCTAAACGAGGCAAGACTAATGTAGTCACTGCAATAACTCGAGTAGGACTTTGGAGTACATCGGAGTATAAGAAGAATCAGGAACCCTCAGGAGTAACGTCGGCAATGATTTGGGACCTTCATTCTACGCAAAAGCAGAAGAACAAGGCCGCGATGCAATGAAAGCTGCACCAGCACCACGATTCGCAAGGGCGGTCTGTTGCAGCAAAGCGCTTCAAGCGTGGTCTTGGGTAGGGTTTGGGCTTTGCTTTTGGGTTCGATAGAGTACTGCATCATACTTTCGCTTGGAATACCCCAGGCCCTGAGATTAAACCTTCTAGCCCTGTGTTGCTTTCTGTTGTTCCAATTGCAAATAACTTCGGGTGCAAGCCTCAGTTCAAACTTTGCATTGAAGGTCTTGGGCTTGAATCTAACAGTGTGAGAGGCTGGTGCTAAAAGCACGAGGACGCGCCGTCAAAGCTAGTTCGGCCGGGAACACCCTATACAATGCAAGACCTAAACAACAGTCAGGGCCCGAGTGGCCGGAAAGTTACCGCTCCTTCCAAGGAGACAAGAGCTAGGGTTAGGGCTTAGGGTTTAGGGGTTTAGGGTTTAGGGTTTAAGCCAAAAAGTCTAAGAGGATCTGCAGATCTACTGCTTCCGTGAGGGCACCTTGGTGTTGCGGGGTACACCCACCGGTTATTCCTGATGGCTCTGTGTCTGGGCTCTCCTCATATGAGTTAACACATAGTGAGGAAAGCATCATACTTGCTGCATACGACTCTAGAAGCAACCGCTTCTAAGTCCAAAAGACCTGTAGATCCCAAAACCTGCCGCTTTCTAGCTTAAGGGCTATACCCTTTAGGTAAGGGGTTACCACCCCTAAACCCTAAAACCCTAAACCCTAAACCCTAAAACCCTAAAACCCTAAACCCTAAAACCCTAAACCCTAAAACCCTAAAACCCTAAACCCTAAACCCTAAACCCTAGCCCTGAACCGTGGGTTCAGGAAAGTTCATCCTCGTGGGCCTGGAGCTCTGCCTCAGACTTCTTCACTTCCAGAGCGGGTCCTCGCAGTTCAGAGTTTGGGGGGTTTAGGGGTTTGAGGGGTTTAGGGGGTTTAGGGTTTTGGGGTTTGAGGGGTTTAGGGGGTTTAGGGTTTAGGGGTTTGAGGGGTTTAGGGGGTTTAGGGTTTAGGGGTTTAGGGTTTAGGGTTTAGGGTTTAGGGGTTTGGGGGTTTGGGGGTTTGGGGGTTTAGGGTTCAGAGCAAGGGACGTTCAACACATAGGCTTCTGGAATGCATGGCATATACATATATGTTATGTATCTGTCTATGTACCTAAGCTATCTCTCTATCTACATACCTGTGTCACTACCTACATATCTATGTATTTATCTATCTATCTATCTTGAACTTGGCTGCTGTTCGTGGCTCTTCCCAGGCTCAGAAACCATAAGCCCAAACCCCCAATAATAAGCCTGAACCCAACCCTCAAAGAAGCCTTTTTCCCAAAAGCACTCCTTGAGGGGCCAAGAGCTTCCGGTTTAGGCGGGCTTCAGGCGCCCATTATACCATAATTGTGATAAGGAGCCCCCAATATAGTATAGGTAATTATTGAGGCCCCTATATTACAGTCTTTTTGCAAGCCGCTTAGGAATTGGGGCTTATAAGGTTTGGGGGGATTCTGGTACAAGGCTTAGGGTGAGGAATTGGTTTCTAGTGGTTGGGACTTATAGGCCTTTTGGAACTGGTTTAGGGCTTGAGCTTTCGAATTGTCTTAGAATTATAGGGCTTATAGGATTTTTGGAACTGGTTTAGGGCTTGAGCTTTCGATTTGTCTTCGAATTCTGGGGCTTAGGATTTTTGGAGCTGGTTTATGGCTTGAGCTTTCGAATTGTCTTCGAATTCTGGGGCTTAGGATTTTTGGAGCTGGTTTATGGCTTGAGCTTTCGAATTGTCTTAGAATTCTGGGGCTTTGGAGTTTTGGAACTGGTTTATGGCCTAAGGCTCAGGGCTTTGAAGTTCGGACCTCCGGCTCGGGAAAGGACGAAGCTTCGAATCCATCTGAAGCCTCACCACAAGGCGGCTCGTACCTAAACCTAAACCCCCTAAACCCCTTACCCCTAAACCCTAAACCCCTAAACCCCTAAACCCTAAACCCTAAACCCCTAAACTCCTAAACTCCCAAACCCTCAACCCGAAACCTTAGTGCACAGCCCCCGAAGCTGCTCCAGTAGACGCAGGGTAACTCCGAGAGTCTATCTGGGTGGTTGTCAAAATTGTGGTCCCTTTTTGGGTCCTTGTTACAATACCGCACCTAATATTTCGGGTACCCAGAAAGGGACCATAATTTTGACAACCACCCATATGCTATATCCGACTATCTACCTTTCTGAAAAGTCCTTCCAACTTTCATATACCCTTACTGCCCTCCAAGTGTCCAGTAAACTTTTGGCACCTCCTGCTGTTTTGGAGTAAGAGGCCAAGGGTTTCTTAATCAGGTTCCTGCAGTATACATTATAGAACCAGTTTATAGTACCCCTGTAAGGTATATACCTTTAAAGCAACCCTATTCTAATACAAATTGCAGCATTACCTGGTGCCGTTGCACCCTAAACTCTAAACTCGAAGCCCTAAACCCTACACCCTAAACCCTAAACCCTAGACCCCTAACCCTAAACCCCTCAACTTCACCCCTACATTATACAGAGCCCAGCTGTCCGACTTTGTTCCGCAGCCACTCGACCATGGCTTGCTCGTGTCTTCGTCCGGTGTACTCTTCCTCACAGGGAGCCTAGGGTTCCTTTAAAGGGAGCCTAGGGTTCCTTTAAAGGGAGCCTAGGGTTCCTTTAAAGGGAGCCTAGGGTTCCTTTAAAGGGAGCCTAGGGTTTAGGGTTTAGGGTTCGGGGCTTAGGGTTCATGGTTTAAGGGCTTGGGTTTGGCGGGGTTTGGGGTTTAGACTGCTGCTTTAGCTTGAGGTTACAGGCTTATTTTAGACGGGTCTAGGTTTAGGGTTTAGCGTTTTGTATCTTGGTCTCGTGTACCCTTCCTTGGCCGCGGACGGCAGAGCAGCTTGGAAGCGCTAGAGCTTAGTAACGGCTCTGGGTTGTTTTTGTGAAGGATTAGGTTTTCAAGTTTTTGGGGTTTAGGGTTTCGAGTTTTGCATTGGGTTTGGCGAGGGTATGGATGCTTTGCTAAGCCAGGGGTTCTGCAAGTGTTTTGAGGGTTCTGACAAGCAGTATCCGGGATTTACGACGACCCCAAGCGGCTTTATGGGTCTTTAGCTGGCTTTTGTGTAGCTACTGTTGGTGATATAAACCCTGCATTGCCTTAAGGACCCCAAACTATGGGAATTATGGTATCTAAGCTCTTCCGGCTTTTCTTTCGGGTTTAAGGCTTACAGGTTTATAGCTTCGGAGACTTTGAGCTGAAGCCCTTCGCCAAGGACTGCAGAGGAACTCTATCAGATTAACTAGTATCCTGAACCCCAAGCTGTTACCCAAAATACTAAACCCCGATACCCCTACCTCAAACCCTGAACCCCAAAACCCTAAACCCCTAAACCCCTAAACCCCGAAACCCTAAACCGCGAAACCCGAAACCCACGAAACCTCTTGGGCAACCTTAACCCTAAACCTACGTAAATCCGAAAACAGTGAAGCTCTAAAACTCCACAGCCTACACCCTAAATCCCAAACTGCTGAGGCTTGCTGGGCCCAGGGCCCAGTGCGCCCTGTGTAGGAGGAAGATGCCGGGATAGCTCTTGAGGCCGAACCTCATCTTGGTGGGGGTTCGGGGTTCAATTTTTCATGTTGGTTTTAGGGCTAGGGTTAGGGTTTAGGGTAGGGTTTAGGGTTAGGGTTTAGGGTAGGGTTTTAGGGTTTAGGGTAGGGTTTTAGTACTGCTTGCTCTTATTATTTGTTATTATTGTTATGATGATGTTTCGTGGGGTTTTAGGCTTTAGGGCCCAGGAAGCAAGGTGTTCCGTTATCAGGGTTTAGGCTCGAACCTCGCCTTCGTCTTCCAACGTTGTAGCAGGGCATTTGGGCTTTTGGGGGTTTGGGGTTAGGGTTTAGGATTTCGGGCTACTCGCTTGCTCATTCGCCTGCATTGACCAAAGAATCTGCGCTGTCAGAATCTCTGTAATTCGGAAAGGAACCTCCAAATAAATCTCCAGTTCGAGCTGAACACCTTCAACAGTCGAAGCCTTCTTACAACCTCCTCACAGCTGTTTCGGCTATTTCCCTGTTCGCACCCACAACCCTCCCTCAAACCTCAACCACAATCCCCAAGCCACCCCGATCCCTGCCCCCCTTCCCAACCCCACGCCCATCACCGTGGACACGGGCTCTTCTGCAATCTCCACCTCCAGGGAGGCATCCTGAGCTGTGCGGGCTTCAAAGCCTGTGGGGCTGAAGGCTTCCTTTAAGGGGCCCCAGTTCGCCCTCGGACTCTGCACCGCCCGAAAAAAAAAACAACTATTTTTGGTGGTTCCTTATGAGAGTTCTAGTATTAGGGCCAGACGCCGGGCTTCGGGTGCATCGCTTTGGGTTTACCGCTTCGGGCTTGAAGGTCTAGCATTTGCCGGTTTGCTTAATGGTCGAATATTTTGGGCTCAGTGGCTCTAGCTCCCTAAACGGCCCGAAGCCCAAACCCTTGCTATATTATTACTATATTGTTATATTATTACTATATTATTACTATATTATTTTTCTATCATTACTATATTATTACTATATTATTACAGCATTCCCAAACCTGCAACCCAGTAGTCTCAGGCTTCAGCGATTCTTGCGAAGGCCACGTTTCCTTGCAGAGAACTCGCAGCCTCCCAAGAAGGCAGAAAATCTGGGTTTAGGGTTTAGGGTTTGGGGGTTTAGGGTTTAGGGTTTAGGGTTTAGGGGTTTAGGGTTTAGGGGTTTAGGGTTTAGGGTTTAGGGCGGAGGGCTGGTAGAAGCACAGCAGTAGCCCCCCTCCCCCTAGCCCCCCAAGGGTCCCTATGAACTAGCACTACTGCTACTACTATAGACCTTCGCTTTGCTCATCTTCTGGGTTGTAGTTTGGGGGCTCTGAAAAGTATTTATGAATAGGTACCTCTATAGGAACCATAAGGGAGATTAAAAAGTTTCCCAAATTGCCACCTAGTCTTTCTTCGAATGCTTCGAGATACAACTAGACCCAAGAGTAACCTAGGAATAAACAGGGTGCCCTTTTTGGTTTAAAAGTGGCTTATAGGGGAACCTGAACCCTAAAACAAGGGAATGAGGGCTGCTCTAGGTCCTAGACAAAAGACAGAAACATCCTTGAGCAAAGTGGAACCAGGACATATTCATAAGGGTCGCACTAGAGTACAACTTGTGTAGGGCTTGCGCCAACATGATACTGAGTATGAAGCATGTCATTGAAGCTCCACAAATAATAACAATAAGAATAGTCACGATAACCATAATAACAATAACAATAATAATCATACTACGGTTGATGATATAAATCCTGCATTACCGATAATACGGAATATACCATAATTCCCATAGTTTAGGGTCCTTAAAGTAATGCAGGATTTATATCATCAACACTACGAAACCTGAGTCCTCAGGAAGCGCGGCACGTCAAACCACGATGCGAAACCATGGCAGACTGACCTTTTCGAACTCCGGCTCCATCTTTTTGCTGTGTCCGCCTGGGGTTTAAAGACGTTTCAAGGCTTCTGGAAATTGGATATTCAGAGGCCACTGGCACAGTGGTTTGCGGAGGAACTTAGTGTTGAAGATTTAGGGCTGCAAGCTGTGAGGAGGTCTAGCACCGCAACGCCTTGCGCTGTTCATACATGTTCTCTACTGTTCTCTTCGTTCATGACATCTCGAAATGGCAGCGGCAGCAGCAGATGCAGCAAGGGCAGGAGCAGCAACAGGAGAAGTAGTAGTAGTAGTCGTCGTCGTCGTTATAGGTGCTGTTGCTGCTGCAGATTAAGCAGCATCAGCAGCAGCGGCAGCACTTTCAGAAAAGGACGAGTAGAAGTAGCCATGTCAGAAGGAGCAACAATGACAGTGCTGCTTCAACGCAAAGTCGACACCCAAAGTACCCTATCCTACCACGCGAAAACGAAAAATCTAGACCTTCCGGAGCGCAGAGACGTCGGAACTCCGACGTAGGAGTTGGGCTCTCAGAATGGATCTTACTATGCTGGAGGGTTTAGGGTTCAGGGCCGAGGGTTAGGGTTTAGGGTTAGGGTTTAGGATGCCGACAAGGAGCACCAAGGGGCGTAGAAGAACAGCATGAGCCTGCGAGATTCAGGAACTAGTCACAAAAATGCAAACCCCGAAGAGTTAGATGAATCCTAAACAGCACAAAAAAACTCTACCTTAACCTACCAAAACCCACTTTTTGTGCAGGTTCTTCTTATGAGCCCTAATATGGTTTTCTACAAAAAAAAGTAGGGTTTGGTAGGTTAAGGTAAACCCTCAACCCAGAACCCTACACCCTAAAAACCCTAAACCGCGAGCCGCTAGCCCCAGGCCCAATCCCTTCTGAACCCCAGCTCTGACCGGAGTTCGGGGAAATAGGGCGACATGAACAAAAAACCCAACCAAGCAAAGATCACCGACCCGATCACTCCACTGCGGTGTCCTTGAGATCACTGCCGTAAGACTGAGGCTCCACACGTCTGAATGCCTACTGAACACGATCCTCCAGACCGTAATATAGATATGGGAGTTTCCGAAAATCAGAGGTATTTTGGGGTCCTTATTATAAGGATCCTACTATTTAGTGTACTATATTAAGGCTCTCGAATCCAACTGAAACCCTAAGCCTCAACCCTGACCTGTGCACTGAACCCCAAAACACAAAAACGCTATGCTTGGACGACAAGCTCCTGCATCATCCGTAGCAAGAGATATTCCAGAACTCCCGTGGGTTTAGGCGCTTGCACGTTCAGCCTCGGATGTTCGCGCAGAGTCGCGTAGAAGTTGTCGCCGTCCACAGAAAGCACCTTGAACTGTATCCCGAAACCCTAAACCATAAGCCCTAAACCCTAAACCTCAGGAACTGGTAGGCTCTCCAACTAACAAGTTCAGGTGTTCTGAATTTTTTGTTGCAGCTTCAGGCTTCTGGGGCAACGTTTGGGAGCCTGGGGCTGTGGGCTTCAGGGGCGTGGGGGGTGTAGGCTGTAGCTTTTCAACATGCCGTAAGTAATCCCAAAAGCCCTCGAAACAGCGCACACAGCAATCATCCCTAAACATGCGAGTTCTGACGGTTTCAGGTGCGATTCGGCACCTGCTGTCAAATTTCGAACATAGTCAAGTCAAAGGCTCGGCTTCTCAAGAGGGCCAACTACTCCTCAATTCAGGATTCAGAGTAGCTTGGGCTTCTTACTATGACTTCAAGCAACTTAAGGTATGGTTCCTCTAGGTGAAAGGAATATTCCTTAGTTACCTTGTTAAACGGTTGTGGAGTCTTCGACGACACCGCACCAAGCGCCCTGTACATGCATAGGTATACAGATGTGTGTATGTATGTGTACATATATAGGTTTCTTCATAATGCTCTATGTATATATACACGTATATAGATATACGAATACTACATACATACGTACTTTGACATGTGTATCTTGGAATAAGACCCGAGCCTGCAACCTCATAGTTTAACGGTCCACTCCGAAGCCCCTTGGCCTTGTCACAGCGCTGATAAATGGCATTCTGATGAAGCCGATAACCCTAAGTCCAGACCCCGTGAGCCCCAGATCTTAAGACTATAATCTCTTCTAGAGTCCTGAAGCTGAAAATCGAAGAAAAGTGTGCCCTAGACTCCGAAAAAGGCAAGTCAAGAAGAACTAGCCCGAAACTGTAGGAGCAAACACCCCCCAGTCTATATTCAAAGCGCAAAGATTTATAAAGCTTACATGTGTGTGTGTGTGTGTGTGTTTTCATATATATATATATATATACGAAGGCGCTTACAGAAACACATATGCATATGCACAAGGTATGTAAATGTAGCTGCAGCTGTACCCATGTGCTTGCACATATGTACACGTGTCAACTGAACAAAAAGCACCCAGAAAACTAAACTTAGAGGATCATGGGACTTAGTAAATAAGGTTATAAGTACCTGAATTGGGGTTATACGTACAGTTACCTTACTTACAACCCTAGTTACTAAGTCCCATGATCCTCTAATACCCCCGAAACCATATAGAACCCCTAATAGTATCCCTTAATAGATCCCTTAAAAAGGAGCCCTTGAAAGGAAAACTAAAGCTCTCCGAGCTCCCGGGCAGAACTCGCTCTGCCCACCTGTAACAAACGGTGCGACAGCTTCTGGGAACCGGAGTTATGGTTCAGGGCCTATTATGGAACCGTTCCTTCAAAGAGGTCTATAAGGGTTTACTATACGGAGGGCCTATTATGGAACCGTTCCTTCAAAGAGATCTATAAGGGTTTACTATAAGGGATCAAAATGGGTACTATAATACTCTAGGAACCTGATTAAGGAACCTTGGGCGTTTATGCAGGTCCTTGATATGAATCCTACAAGTTTGGGGTTATAGACCCAGGGTTTCCTAATCAGGTTCCTACATTAATTAGTCCTCTGGCTTTCGAGTTTGGGGGTTTAGGGTTTCGAGTTTTGTCGAACTCCGTCTTGCACCTGCTCATCCTCACAAGGGCTTCCAGTTTAGGGTCCAGGGTTTCCGCCTTTCGGGTTAAGGGTATTAGGTTCAAGGTTCAGAAACACCAACCCGAAATCCCAATGTAAAAATCTGACGCACGTGCGTGTATGTATGTATGAATGCATGCATGCATGTACGTCGGTAGGTGTGTCTCTGAGTGAGTGAGTGAGCGAGTGAGTGAGTGAGTGCGTGGGTGGGTGGGTGGGTGGGTGAGTGAGTGAGTGAGTGAATGTGTGTGTGTGTGTAGCAACACGGAAGTTACGACGACATGAAGATGCAATGCAGAAAAGTAGCTACGGCTCTCGTGCACAAGCGCTTGCATCTCGACATGTGCATGCACACGGGTACGCAAAAGAGCTGTACATGTTTGTCGAGAATGGATAGCCCGATGAATTCAATTGCCTTCATGCAAAGAGATATGCATGACTTCATAAACACACTGTGATTTCAAGGATGCACTGCATGTGTATCTGCTCGCATGCGCATTACAAGTGACTTTCACAAGTGTTCATACACATACAGCTACCCCACAGACGTAAAGTGCAAACACAGAAAGAGAGAAAGAGAGATGGAGAGAGAGATATCGAGAGCGACAGAAAGATAAATGTCCGAGAGACAGAGACAACACAAAAAGAAAAGAAAGACAGAGTCTCTCAAGTCGCCAGAGCCTGCATGAAGAAGTACCCTGACAATCGACCATTCCCCTGGCGGCTTCAACACTGTACCCTAAACCCTAAATGTCCCAGAGCCAGCGCGCAACACACCCAATTCAGGGTTCCCAAAGGCTCAGGCTTTGAGACTTTCAGGTAGTCTAATGTTTAAGATTTGGGGATCGAGCTGAAAACCTACGGTTTAAGAGCCTCCCACTTAGAATCCGGGACCGCCCTGCGAGATGTGCACCAATGAACCCAGGCAAAGACACCACGCCGCATGACACCGCCAGGAGCCGCAAGACCTCCGACTTTGGATCACTGGGTTTAGGGTTTAGGGTTTCCTGACTGCAAGTTTTGGGCTCAAAGCTTCAAAATAACAAAGAACGACTTGATGGCTGCATTCAAGGGCGAAGCTCATTGCCACCTACCAATTCAAGATCGCTGTCTTGCCCTTCGACCCAAGATGTGGCCCTTTCTTCGCGGAGTTCGAACATGTTCGAACACCATCGCAGGGTTTAGGGCTGGGGAGATGGTTCAGGAGAAGTGTCATAGTAGCTCAGTTTTTGCAGTAGGCGTAGTGTTTGCACGCAACCTTTCCCCACCGAAACCTCCGGCTCCCTCCAGAGCTCAGAGGAGGGTTTAGGGTTTAGGGGACCAGCCCTCGACCCTCAGAAAAGCTTCCTTGCATGGATCCGAATAGGTTTCGGGTTCCTACATTGCTCTCAGAAGTCGGGATCAGAGCTCGGGCGGGTGATGAAGTCTTGTTGACGCTTATGGCAAAGCCAACTTATCGCCTTATTTATGGTACTTATAACCCTACTTACTAAGTCCCATGATCCTAGGGAGCAAGACACATTCACAGAGAACAAAATCCAAAGCACCAGCCCTATTGCCCCAAACCCCATCCACAAATTCCCAAAACCCGCAAATCCTAAAACCTTGGACCCGAAAATGGGAGGCCGGGCGATGTTCATCTTGGCTGGCGCGGAACATCCATGGCATCGGGCATGCGGCCGGGGCGCTTCCGGGTGGGCGGAGGGTTGCCGCGGAGAGCCCGTTGAGCTGAGTGTCTAGGACTCAAGTGCAGTTCAGGTTTGGGGTTTCAAGTTTTTGACAAAATCCACTATGTTTGTGTATCTTCCGCCCACAAAGACTTTCCAAGGTATGTGTCTTGACTTTCAAGGGCTTTCCTGGCATTCCTGGCTTCAGTGCTTCATGCGATCTATCGTCGAAAGAACCTAGGACCGTAACATGGAGGTCGATTCCATTCGTTTAAAAGGGCTGGGCAATCTTCGAGAGGAGTGTGACATTCGCAGAAAAAGCTGTAGACATTGAGGCCATATGGGTCAAGCGGCCTAGTGGCCTAGTGCTCAGTGTGTAACAGACAAACTGTAACCCTATGTGCGGGTATCGCGTGATGTTTTGGCATCACGGGAGCACTCTTCGTCCATGGAGACATTGCCAAAAATTCGGATGCTTGCTTTTCTGGTTGAAGCTCTGTTGGTCACACCCACCCTGCCTCCAGAATCTTTTTGAAACAGCCACTATTTATCCAGCACGTCCCGCGCTACCTGCTAAATCAGAACGAAACCAAAGCCTGCCTCTGCTAGCTGCCGTGACCTCTCCACGGAATGTCATAAACAGATTGTATGACGATGTCAACAGGTTCGCACTGATCATTTTCCGTCCGGCACCAGAAGATGGAAAAATCGAAGAAAAGTAGCAAGTAGCAGGAATTGCCTGTTTTAGGCAATTTAGTTGACCGCACTTTGGCTAAGTCATGCCGTGTTTGTGGAACGGCTATGTGCGTGCGTCTGTGTATGTGTATATATATATAAACAAATATGTATAAACAGTTAAATGTTCATACATCTGTATATATAACATACATATATAGCAGCGCATCCATCCATCCAACCATCCATCCATCCATGTTTAATTACGCACAGATGTCTGCGTAATTTGTATCAGAAGTATATACATCTCGATACGGGGAAAAGAGGAGTGGCAACTCGAATCAGCGATAAGTTGGAAAACGAATTCCTGAACACTGAAGTTAGTCCATCCAAGTGTATGCACAACAATTCCTCCGGATCTATGTTCGTGTCTGATCAGATTCCATGTAATGCGATTTGTGGATTGCTGGAGCATGTGCGCGACCAGATTTCTGAACGAGAAGGCCTCCCTCATGCTTCGGCAGGGCATGCCCACTTCGGTAACATGCAGTCCGAGGCAGTGCGAAAGCTTCAGTACTTCACAAAGGCAGCTGTAGTGTCCTCTGTCTTACGAGACCATTTCAGACTGTTGTCTTACCTCGCTCTGGAAATGCTGCCTGAAGCTTAGCCCCAAGAGCCGCGGCTTGCCATCAAAGAGAAATTCGCTCCAGAAGCCAGCCGCGTTTGAACGCGACTTCATCTGGAGTAATCTCTACCTTGGTCAGCACAGGGATTCTGCGACCCACTCATGTACTATGTCCGGGGATTCCTCCAAGGAACCTCTACTTAATGGAGCGACGGGATCAGGACTGGGCTACTCTCGCGGGTTTGAGCGATCCAAATTACCGGGACGACATGCGACGAACCACGTTGCCCTGTTGCTTTTCAACATCTGGCGTCGCCTGTTCTGAGCCTAAAAAAACTTTCTACAGAAACTAAAACTGAAAGAAGGTGTGTTCGAAAATGGCCACTTTCAACTCCTACAGCCCAGAAAGCATGCATCAACAAGATTTCGTTGGCACCGCATGCATACGACGTAAACAGCTGAAGGAACTCAAGCTGTACGGCTCCAGGGAGCTTTGCTCTTGGGTTTCATATGATTTCGCGCGGATTTATAGAAGAAATTTTGGCGTTGCGTCGCGCCCTAGTGGCTTCCGCGCTTATGTTTTCGGGCTGAGGGACTGCCTCACTCAGCTTGCCAGAGGGTGCAAGTACCCAAGTCGTATCACACTTTACATACTCCATTGGCTTCTTTTGCAACCTGAAGCACCACTTTTCGTGTTCTTGGACCCTCGGCGTCCCACAGCGGGCTCCCTACATATCTTCATCTTCCGGGATGTCTTCTAGAAGTCCAAGCTTTCCTTAAAGTACCGATGCAGCTCCTTAAGTTTCAGCTCTACTAAACCACCAAAACCCAACCCAACAATACCTCAGCTTCAAGCCCCAAAAAAGCAACAATAGACCCGTTTAACCAACCGTTAAAGAAACCGTCAAACGAAACCTAAATCCAAAAAGTCGCTCAAAATTTGGGGTTACTTTCAACAGCTTGATATTGCCCTTACACACCCTATTAAAGCGGGAACCGCGGTAAAACCCTAAACTCAAAACCCTACACCACGTTGCCACATGCACGTCGGCAAGCTTTGCAAAGGTGACGCTTCGCCTGGTTTCGAGTTTTAGGGTTCAGATGCTTGAGGGATAGAGGTTAGAGTTTAGAGGCTTTTGATGGCGTATGTATAGTTACGGTGCAGGGTGGCTTAAGGATTTGGGACTTAAGGGTTTAGAATTCAGGGTTCATGGGTCTGTGTGTTGGGTTGTGCTGCTTGGGAACTGAGGTTTGGATCCAGGCCATAGGGCAAGTGAGCCATCGATAAACCCTCGCAATTTAAGCGAAATCGACTGCAGCGCACAGCCCCTGAATCTTTCAAGATCATCGGAAGAAAAGCAACCCTAAACCCCAAACCCAGCCCAAACCCTAGGCCCTAAACCTCCGCGGCTCGTTGCTATTCTTCACGCAGCTCGGACGTCGCCTTAGCGAGTTTGGGTTGAGGGTTGAGGCGTCTCTAAGGGTTTAAGGCTGGCCCCGAGTCTCCGACAACCGATACCTGGGCATCTGATGTTGGGGGACACCTCCTCATGTGGGGCTCTGCACGATGTATCCCTCAGCAAGTGCATAGCCACGGAAAGCAATGTCTAGTCGTAGTCGTCGTTTGCAGCGCCTCGACGTCACACTGGCCACTGAGGCTGCAACAACGACAGTTATAGCTGAAAAAGATAAGAAGCATCTTAGCAGGTAAAAGCCAGGCCGAATCGAACTCGGAGAACTAAACGTCGTAATCATCTGGAAATTGGTGTTCTGGAATATGGCAACTCAACAGCCCCCGACCTCGAATTAAGCAATACCCTACTGACCATCAAGCCATGACTTGGATCACTTAACTGCGCCGAAACCTTATGCTACAACATCTGCCGGGACTTTCACCAGATGTGACCACCGAATACATGGCCTAGTCTCTGAGTTTGCGGGTTCGTGGCTCTAGTTTGCTTGGGCTTCCTTTTCGGCTGTCGGGGATGCCCCTATTCCCTATAAGCTTTGGAAGGTAAGATCTTCAGCATACACCAAAAGCCTTCAATCCATTGACCCCTGGACAAACCTTGAAACCTCAACGTCCTGAACCCTGTTCCACCCCATTTCGGTTTCAGGTCTCTGCGCCAGGATTCCTGCACTGTCCGGCTTTTTTGCTACTAGTACGGGTTAGGGCCATCTATTCTCCAAGGCTTCGTGCTCGCAGGGAGGGTGCTCGGTCTTGCTTGAAGGTCGCGGCCACAAGGCCAAAACCCTGAGCCGGAAAACTCGTCAAGCCCCTATCTGACAGGCTGGGAGCTTTTGTGCGCCGGCAAAAGAAAAACACGCGAACAAAGCAAAACCCTCAGAAACAAACTCTGCAAACGGAACTCCGAAACTGCGACCGAGCTGCACGTTGTTGTGGCTGCCGAGCAGCATGGGCCTCCGTCTGCGGCGATAGATCTACGGGGATCTTGCTTTGGGAAGGAATGAGATGGACCACCATTTGTGCGCATTTGTACATTCGTATAACTCGTGTGCATACAACATCAAGACGGCCAGCCAGGCAGGCAGACATACACGCGAACAGACAAACAGACGGACGGACATATACATCCATACACACACAGACATACATACATGCATGCATGCATGCATACATACAGACAGACGGACGGACGGACGCATGCACAGATATATGCATGACCCATACTAACATACATGCTTGCATATGTACATATGCATGCACAATTGTATGCAGGCGAAAATGCTGGGGTGTGGGTCGCACACGGCATGAAATGCCTGCGACGCTGCCAGATAATCTCAAGACAATGTCAACAACCTCGACCACGAGGCCAAAACCCTGAGCCGGAAAACTCGTCAAGCCCCTATCTGACAGGCTGGGAACTTCTGTGTGCCGGCAAAAGAAAAACCACGCGAACACACTGAAACCCTCAGAAACAAACTCTGCAAACGGAACTCCGAAACTGCGACCGAGCTGCATGTTGTGGCATCCGTCTGCAGCGATAGATCTGTCGGGATCTTGCTTTCGGACGGACAGAGATGGACCACAGCTTGTATAGATCTGTACATTCGTATCATTCGTGTGCATACAATAGACGGGCAGCCAGCCGGGCAGGCAGACATACACACGAACAGACAGACAAACGGACGGGCGGACAGACAGACACATACATCATCATACATCCATACACACATACATACATACGTACATACTTACATACACATACACACACATACACATACACACGCACAAACATGCATACATACACACATGCATACATACACAGATACATGCATACATGCACACATGCACACATACACACATGCACACATACACACATCCATGCAAGCATGCATGCATCCAAGCATGCACACGTGCATGCTTGACCCACACATACATACATACTTCTGTATGCCGCAGTTTATAGAGGCGCAATGCTGGGGTGTAGGTCACACACGGCATCGAATAACCCTGAGCCAGAAAACTCGTCAAGCCCCTTTTTGATAGCCTGGGATATTGTGTGCGCCGGCAAGTGAACACTCGAAGGACCACACGAACCAAGTGAAATCCTGAGAAACAAATGCTGCAAACGAACTTCGAAACTGCAAACCGAACTGAATTGTCATGGGCCACTGCGGATGTGCTTGTGACAAAGTCTCTGACGGGGCAGATTCTGCTTTTCTGAAGAACCGGCAGTCCCCCAGAACCCTTTGTTGATGCCCAGCGCCTCCAGACAGCACCACTAGAAACTCGGTGTAAAGGTTGAGGGTTGCAAATAGAGCCAATGTTTAGGGTCAAGAGACTTAGAGGCAGGTATATGTGAGGTACCGCAACTGTCGAAGAGCAAGAAGGCCAGGGTGGATCATGGTGGGTGACCATATATATATATATATATACATACATAAATATATATCTATATATATATACATATATACACACGCACATGTATGTATGGAGTTGTTTGTCTGTGCAGTTCCTTGTTCATTCCTACAATCTGTAAGCATATACATGTTTACACATGTATTTATTTTCATATGGATATAGACACCTATATATGGTGTGGCGTCTGGCGTCCCCCCCCCAATGGTATGGTCTGACAGGGGTGGGGGGGGGGGGCCGGCGTGTGCGGAAAGGGGTTGGGGGCCGTTGGAGCTGCCACTGCATGGTGGGGTGGTGCTGGCGGCCAGGGCTCACGCGCAAGCCCTTCGCAAGCAAGCCGTAAACCCTATGACGCGGCGCGTGCCCCTGTTTTGGGCAACCTTAACTTGTACTTAAAACGCTACACCCAACCCTAAACCCCACCTGACTGCAGGCTCTGAGCCTAAAGCAGAGCATACACCACAAATCCTCCATAAGCCCTTGTCGACTCGAAGCCTTATACCTTGTAGCCGTAAACCCAAAACTCAAAAGCTTAAGCTAAACCCTAAACCCCAAAACCCCACAACCACCCCACAGGGGGAAGAGGAACCCCACACCCCACACCACAGGGGAGGGGGGGGCCCCACCCTATATCCGGACCATTGACCTTTGGCGGGGGAGGGGGGGGGCTCCGGAGCGCGTGACCATATGTGCACGGCTTGATCTGTATCTAGATCTATAGGTACGCATACCCATGTGTGTATTCTCGTAAGTAAATTTGGGCTTTCAACCTTTGCTACTATTCTATGTCGGCATTTACATACGCCTCTGTACATTTATTTGCTTTGCTTTATTTGTGTATAGATATACACATAGTGCATGCATGTATTTGCATGTAAGTGAATATTGAAAAATGCTTGACACATCAAAACCATAAAACACACCTATACATGTATGCATATATATATATACATACATATATACATATATACATATATACATATATACATATATACATATATACGTATATACATATATACATATATACACATGTACTGAATGATTGTCTAAGTATATATCTACCTCTTCATGTTGCAGACAAAAACGATCAGCCCAATGCAATTTCCTATTCCGGTACTGGCCTTCTGCGGACGCTTTTCGCATCCTCACGCAGCAAAGACAGTTCAGGTTCACGGAGCGGGATTTGGATGCTTGGCATTGTCTGGTCGATGGTATCTGAGGAGTTTGTCGCACGGACAATGAGCATAAGCCGGTTCGACCTTTGAACCCTGGACCGGAGCAGCGGAGTTGCCCATAGTTGGCCGGTCATCAGTTCGGTGGCTTTTCGGCTCGGGCCTCTCAGAGTGGCCTTATGCATCGCCACAGACTGCAGTAACGGCGCACCCATGAACCCAGTAGAGCTATGCAAGGACAATAGCCAGCGCCAGAGGCATAGCCAAGCTGTCCGTAGCGGCAGATGAAGCACACGAATGACTGTAGCAGTCGCTAGTCCCGCAGTGCAAATGAGAATTTCATCATCGCAGTTTGGATGATTTAACAGATGTCTCAATAAGAAGAGTGCCTGCGGCATCAAGACGGCTGAAAGTGTCTGCGGCATCCGACCCTGCGTCCGACAGTCTTACACCCTGGAACCCAGAGACTCCAATATCCCTTAATTAAGGAATATACCTCAAATTAAAGCAGGATCCCTAAGATGGGATATTGGGGTCTTTGGGAAGCTGAATGCGAACAACAAACCCCAAAGCTTCCGAGCGAGCTGCAAGCCCCAAATGTAGACCGTCGGATGTGGTAGGGCTTGTGGTGTATCTACATTGCCAGAAGTCTTCGTGATGCACATAAAGATTAGGTGTATTTAGAAAGCCGGTTGCACATAAGGGTTTCCAGGGGCTGTCAAAAACCCGAAATATTCTATTTAGGGTCTAAATATCTTTCAAAATATTCTAAAATATTCAAAATATGTTTGGAAATATTCCAAAATATTCTTATAATATTCTAAATATCTTTCAAAATATTCTAAAATATTCAAAATATGTTTGGAAATATTCCAAAATATTCTTATAATATTCTAAATATCTTTCAACATATTCTTGAAATATTGTACATATCCCCAGACATATGTTAAATGTGTTTGAATGTATTGAAATTAACTTCAAAGACTTTACTACACACTTGAAATATCTTTCAACATACTCAGCATCTTCTTCATACAAATCGTAAACTAGCTATATGCAGTTTGCTGTTTACTTCTGCTTAACCAGGTGTTACCGAGTTTAACACATGAACGAACTGGCAACAACTGGGAAGAGCCCCTGATATGCAAAGGCAAGAGCTCAGAACAATAAGCCGATATGATTTTCCGACAGGTGCACCAATCAGACCCATCTCCAGAGTCAGAATCACTGCAGTGTCACTACAGTCTACTACAGTGACTACAGTAAGTTGTCTGACCATCCGACCATGAAAGTCACATTGTGGCGGGTACTATGCCAAGTCATTGACCGTGCTTTAATACCCGCCACAATGTGGCTGGAGAAGAGGGGAGGCCTGCCTTTCCAGACATCACCAGGTCCGAGACCGAGACCAGAACGCACCATGGACACTCACTGCTGACATGATCTTGGTAGTCGGAACTGGGCCGGCTGCAGATGCTTCTCCAAGGCAATGCAGCTGCCGTCACTGTCTTGAAGTAGTACCATCCGTCATGGCTGCAGACCACCACAACGCCCATGGCAACACGCTGCTGGCATGAAGCTGGTCGCGGGGTCGCGAAGTGCCATAACGGTGGGAAGTACTCACACACGCCGGAAAAATGCCATGACGGCGGACAGTACTCCAAGTCTCAAGACTTGGAGTGCTGCCCGCCGTCATGGCGGCGATCACCACTTCTGACTTCGCCCCTGCCATGGCAGTAGCCAGTGCAACGAAAATCATCACGGAATCACGTGCATGTCTCTTCCAGTCTTCCAATGTGGTCCAATGACTCCAATGAAATCCAATGTCTTTGGACCATTTGGCGGCTTCCAAGCTGTGGAATGTTCTGAAAGTCTTCGGTTTTCGTGTCTGGATTGAGATTCAACCGCAGACACGAAATCCGAAAACCTTCAGACAAACAAACAGTCGCTATAGTTTCGAACCCAAGGCCCAAGGCCGTCCAAAGCACCGACGCAGAACGAGGCCCAAGGCCCAAGGCAGTCCAAAGTTGAAGGCAAACCACTTGGCCAAGCCCTTGTGCACTTGGCTGATAAAAACCCAGCGACTCTCCAGCCTCCTGTATGTAGCCATGCCTCCTGTATGTAGCCATGCAAAGCTGGTGACGAGGTTGGTTTTTCTTCGGAATGTAGAGCAGAACAGTCAGAACATCGCCAGGGGCCAGGCCAGGGGCAGAAAGCATGGCATGGCATAGCATGGCAAAGCACCATGGCGGCAGTGCAACATGAAGGACCTGAGGTCTAAGTCTAAGTGTCTAAGTCTAAGTAGTCTAAGTCTAAGACTTCGGGGCCCTTAGGGGCTTAGGGCCTGGGCCTGAGGCCGGGTGCTTGTAGCAACGCGGCAACTGTGATAGAATAGGCAGTTAAGCCAAAGCAGGCCTGAACACCCAGGCGGCTTAAAGTCTTAAAGGCTTAAACTTAAGCCGCCTTAAGCCGCTAGTGTTCGGCCTGAAACCTCACGCATCAAGTCTCATCTTTGGCCTTAGGCCTAGCCTTCCATTTTATGAGCATAGGCCTTAGGCGTTGAAACAAACCTGAAACGCAGCTTCAGCCATAAGGCTCTTCACGCTTCTCTTAAGTTTAGTTGCCGCATTAGTTGCCCAAGCCTCGAGGTTAAGTTTCAACAGTCCACCTGTGCCATATGTCCCGTCAGTCAAGTTATGAAGTTATGCTGCTTGTCATAGTCATAGAGCTAACCGTTAGCGTTAGCCCATAACTATACTTCCAATGACTCCATGTCCACGTCACACGTCCGTCTGAGACGTCTCAGAAGCGAGGATTGACGAAGAAGACATAGATCATAGATAGAGATAGACTGACATACCATTGGCATAGTCATAGTGGCACAGTGTGACGTAGTGATGTGGTGATCACATAGACATAGACATAGACTGCCATAGCGGTGACATGCACTGGCATAGACATTACATTACATTGACATTGACATGACATATGGACACAGGTTCGGAACAGCTGCCGACAAAACACTATGCAGTATCAACGCTGGGCAAGGCTCGACATCGCAGTTGTGTTGACAGCAATCATTCCCAACTGATCCGTTTGCCACGGTCCTGAGACTCTTTGGCCCAGTGCGCTCAGTCTTCAGAGACCCGGCCATGGGCCGCCATCATGATGATGCATACCCGATGTCAGGCATGCCAAAACTGTCAGAACTGCTACATGGCTGCATCACATGACATGGCTGGAAGCCCCTGCCGCTACGTGGCACCATTGCTAAGCCGTATAATAAGCCTAAAATGAGCCCCAAAAGCTACAGGCTAAAAGGGTCTAACTTACCTTGCACACCACCTTGAACACCGCTTATACTTGACATGAAGCCTCGCAATCGTGTCCAGCAAAACAGCAGCATCGGGCAGCGCCAGCCACATGTAGCGAAACTACATAAATGACATTGCCTGCCTCCAGGTTCGGCAACATACCCGACCCGAGGCCCGAGGCCCTGTGTTGCGGTTTCGTGCTTAGTGCGCGGCACCGGGCGGCACCCAGCAAACGCCTCACTGCTGCTGGCCAAGAAGCCTCTTCACAGCGCCCAAGGCGACTGAAATGTTGCCGGCACTAGCCGCGGGCTGCGCGGGCTTCATCCACACGGCAGCGAGGCCTGACTGCAGCAGCGACAACACCACGGGAAGGGCCATCGCATTGCCGGCAAGGTCTTGCATCAGGGCCTGAGACGGAGGCTGCTCATCGTCGACTTGTTCAAGAAACCTGGAGATGGGGAATCCTTGAAGCATGAGTGCCTCCTGGCCCAGCACCAGACGTGGCGGAGCAACCAACTCCGTCCATAGAAGTTGGCCGGGCATCATAGTGGGAGCGATGTGGTTCCCGTTGGTCTGCAATGTCTGCATGTGGCTCCGGCCCACAGACTGGCTCAAGTTCCTAAACCCCGCCTGAGGCGCAGCAGCACGCGAAAGTTGCAGAACATCTTTCTCTCGCGCGGTCAACAGACTAAACCAAGCATTGCTTTGCAAATCCCTGGGTGGCTTTCCGCCCCAGCGGATTCCAAGTGTCTCCGCCGTCTTCATGTGCTGCTCGATCCAATTGCCTCCTCCCTGCTTGCGCTTCTTGCTTTCTGGCATCGAAGCCTTTTGCTCAAGATCCTCCAAGTGATTCAACACCGCTGGATCTTCATCAGACAGCAGCACCGCACTGACACAAGGAGGAGAACGAAGGCAAGAAGTCACTAGCCTGCGGAAGCATGCAAAAATGGCATCGACTGGGCGCGAGGCCATGCACAATTTCGGGCTCCGCTGGTTCACGAACAGGACATAAACTCGCTTTCGACGGCAAGGCAAGCCAAATTCCTGTGCGTCCGTCATGACCACCTGCCCAGCATAATCCAAGGCCTCCAGAGTGGCGAGCAGCAAGTCGAGGTTCGTCTGGGCATTGGCTGAAAGCTGTTCGTCGATGGCATCCACATTCTCGTACCTTGCAATATTGGCCACGGGCAAAAAATTCCACCGTGCTTGTGTGCAACCAACTGCATGAAAGCAGGCTCAACTCGAAATCAATTACTTCAACTTCAACTAATAGTAAATTGCACAGTGCACTGACCCGCAATGGCAATGACAATGACTCTGACCACCTGTACTAATGCAATACTCACCAACACTGTGCCAACACTGACCAGAACCCTAAGCCTAAGCCCTAAGCCGTAGCCTAACTAAGCCTAAGCCCCTAAGCCTAAACCGTAACCGTAACCTAAAGGCCTACAACACCGAAGACTTGGAACTAGCCTCGTTGTACAGGACAGGATAGTTGGCATCGCAGCATAGTTACAGCCTAGGACTCAGAAATAACTGCAACATCGGACTTCATAAAACTTTGAGATTTACAACCTTCAGTTTTGGTATCTGAGACTTACGGCTTACGGCTTACGAAGCTTAAGACTAGGCAGCCTAGGCAGTAGACAAGATTTCATGATGAAACACTTCGACTAAGGTGTTAGCAGTAAATACAAAATACTAAATACTACACAAATTATACACTCAGTCTAAATTTAGTCGTCGTGCAGAATGAGGTTGGGCCGGCACGCCTTCACGTAGTCCAGAAAGCCATGATAGGTCTGCGCCGAGCCGCCTTTCGACGTGGACTGTTCAAGAACCAAGCTTTCCTGGCTGCTGCGACCTGCGTTGGCTCTGCTGAGGTCTTTGCACGACGTCCCAAGGACCAGCAAATCTACTGTCTCGACTGGGCAGCAACGGTCGTGGACGGCGCATCCGGCTTCACCCTGGCCCAAGGCCGTAATATCCTCAAAGATGCAGCCATCTGGCTGCATTTTCAGAGGAGCGGAGCCAGAAATCGGCATTTGTTCTTCGATGGCGGTCGAGAGCAATACTTGCCGAATCCAAGCACGCTTGTCTTTGTTGGATTCGCAGGAAAACTTGTGTTTCAAGTGCACCTTCAGGCCAAGTTCATTCATCGCTTCGTTCAAGGCTTCGACCACAAAGTGCAGGCCTTCTGAGCCGGAACAACAACTGGCCCAGCTCAGAGACAGCTCTGTTTTGCGCTGCTCAACTGGGCCCAAGGCCAAATGCTCCTTGGGAAAGTCTGAGGCAAAAGTCTGCAAGTTCTCCTTGGCCAAGCGAAGCAGCAAGGAGCCATCGGCAATGTCACTGGCACTGCAAACTCGACCTGAAGCCTTGAGCATCAGCGCCGAGTGATCCGATTCATTTGGCTCCAGCAAGCGAGTTTTCTTGGCCTTGGCGGCAGGCCCCGACATGGCTGGGGATTTGCGGAGCAACTACAGGCTGCGCCTGTGCGGTCAAATCGCATCACAATCTAAGGATAAAATTGCTGCGACTTGACAAGCTGAAAAGGCAAGCTGTTGTGAACTGATATTACAAGATTACAAGGTTTCAGGAGCGCCTACTAAGCAAAATCAACAGCAATGAAAGCGATCTCAACAAATGCGTCTTTCAGTCGGTTGAGAATACTGAAGCATTGTCAAATAACAAATCAGCGGAACATGCAATAGAATGGCACTGGCATGGCAGCTGCATTAACACTAAATCATGTTTCTGGCTCATCGCACAGGCACAGGATTTGTGATATAATCGTAGTGATAGTTTAATCAGTTTAATAATAATGAATAATGAACCGTGAAGATGAAGAAATGAAGATGAAGATGATGATGATGATGATGATGATGCAATCGCTGTAACTTACCAGTGTTCACGATGGCAATGGTCCAATCGTCCAATGGCGCTATCGTGCTTTGTTATTCACAGCAGCACAGCAATACAAACGGCGACACGGCTACGGCACTGAAATACGCAGACTCCAACCAATATACATGACTGATTGACTAACCGACTAGCGACTGATTACTGATTGAATGCTGGGAAGCGAAATAAAAAATGATGAGAGTGCAGCAAAATCAAGCAAGTCACTGCTCGTTTTCACCGAGCCACCTTCCTCGAGCATCCTTGTGAAACGGCGCCGTGGCCAAAGGCCGAAGCCAGTGGGCCTGACTGGCGCCGAGCATCTGCAAAAGCTGCGCTGTGGATCGCAATTCAATCCTGTGGACGGACATTGCAAGCAAAAACGTGAAAAAAGAACTGGCCGCTGGCCACCCGCCAAACAGACTTGGCAGCTCGGGCTCGGACCTGGGTCTCAGACCGGCTCACTTCTTTTGTGGACCACGCCCTCGCCCTCGCCCTCGCTTGGTGGGCGCCTGCTCGGAAACTATGGACAGCAGCTTCGAGATTTGCTGACCGGGCTTCTTCGACGAAGAACTCGCCGCGGGCTCTTCCTTGTTCGCTTCAATCGCTTTCTCCTGACATTTCGGCTTGCCCTTGTCACCCTTGTCCTTCTTCTTCCCGTCTTTCTGCTTGGAGGAGTCCTCAGCACCGGCAATCTTCGCGTCCTCTTCCTTTGTTACAGTTGATGCTGCAATAAAATACATTTAAGAAATTGTCGCAAAGATTGCGGCTCATTCAAGCGCACTTTGCTCTCGAAGTCTCAAGTCAGGCACTCAGGCACTAACATAAATTACACTAATAAGTCACATAAGTCTAAAAAAGCACAAATCACTTAAGGCAAGACTTTAAGGCTTTAGGGCTTAAACTTTAAGGCTTAAGGCATAAGACATGGTTATTTGAATATTAGAAGGGTTTACGAGGTTTACGACTTCATGATCTGAAGGCCGGCTCTAGTATTACAATTCAACGCAAAGGACGTTGAATTTAAAAACTCAACAGCAAACTTCGGGGCAGAAGCAGAATTAGTATCTGTCATGCATTTACTTGTCAGTAAACATGGCATTGTCATAGAGAGATGACATATGCGACATATGCCATAAGCCATGCCATAAATTGATAATGGCTTTTCTAGAAAAACACTTGTTATATATATATATATATATATATATATTACGTGCCTGGCATACGGTATACACAAGGACTTTGGGGCCTTGCTAGGGCCTTGCTAGGGCCTCAGGGCCTTAGGGCCTTAGGGTTTGCCGCCGGCCTTCGTTTTGCGCTTCTTCTCATCCTTGTCCTTGTGCTGCTTGTCCTTGTCTTTCTCTTTCTTGGAGTCTTTCTTATCCTTCTCTTTCTTCTCTTTCTGGGGCTTCTCGGGTTTTCTCGCTGCCTCATCTGGAATCTCAGAGGCCTTCTCGGCGGCGGCAGTGGAGTCCTTCTTTGCAGGTTTCGAAGATGCAGTGAGTGCAATGACCTCATCCAGGATGTTCTTGCCCTGCGCCTTCAATCCTGCAGTGATTGTGTCGTCGGCAAGTTTCTGCAGGTTGGCCTGCAGGGTAGGCACCAGCTCGGACAAGCTCTTCAGTGTTTGCTTGCCGGCAGGACTTGATTTCCCCAAGTCTTCCGAGCGAAGTAGACACAACCCGGCAACAAAGGTAACGTGGAAGGCCGCAACAGACGACATGCAGGAAGCAGTGGCAACCAGGCCCGAGGCCTCATCGTCGTTTAGCGGCACGTCGAGAGTGAAAAACCCAAACTTCACTTTGTCGAGCATTGTGACCATCTTGAGTATGCCCTTCACACCGTCACAAGACGAATCCAACTTTGGGCTCGCTGTTGCCAGCGCTTGCGTAACTTGCAAGGTTTTGCTACGATACTCAGATTCGTCTGTTAGGGATGGCAGCTTCTCGCAGATCGCACGGACGCTCTCCGACTCGGCGCTCAAAGACTTGCAAAGACTGCTGTACTTCTGCTTCAAAGCGCTCCCGAGGCACACGCCCTGTTTGTGCAGCCACTCGTCTACTGAATCGAGAGCCGATGCCTTCAAAGCCTCCTTGATGTCGACATGCTTGGATGCCTCAGCCCGTGCCTTTTCCAACCCTTCGGCCATGGCCAAGAGGCCTTTGCACAAAGCCAAGTCATCAGCTTTGGCTGCGTCGCCGCGCTGGATCGCTGCGACCTGCGGGCGAAAGTCTGCTGAGACTGTTCGGGGCCAGGCATGACATGGGACTGTTGGACTCCAGCCAAACAAAATAAAAGCAACTACAAATATTGATAATATTGACAATCACGACAACCAATCCAACAATAAGTCGGAAGAATGATCGGAAATTCACTAGACTCTGCGGATACTATGACTGTCATGACTATGACTCTGACTCTGACTATATACAGTAGTAAGTAATAAATCGTAATAAGTAATATATAGGACTCATAGGACTCCAGGACACTAGACTCTCACTAGACTGCCTCCAGAACCTCATCCGGAACATCAGGCATGAGCTGGTGCTTGTGGCTTAGAATTATAATAAGTAGAACGTGCTTATGATTGACAGACTAACATAAATTATATCTGTAAGTTTTTGAATTTTTTGTTTAAGTACAGTCATTCACCGAGATTGAGGCAGTCGACTAGTGACTAGGAGGCTGGGCTGGACCATCATAGATAGAATCATAGACTGACTCCGCCTAAAATCATAAAAAAACAACCAGCTGTAGGCAGGTTTGTCCGGTCAGTGGGCAACCATCACTCAACAAAAAAGCTCATCATTAAACTTTACAAACTTGAAATTCTGGCATTAGGGCGCTGTTGACATGCACATTAAAGAATTATGTCATACTTCTGACGTATGACTTATGACTTATGACTCATGACTTATGTTATGATGTCATTCTAAGATTCTATGATATGATTCTGGTTTTTGATTATGGATTAAGCCTATGGCCCTATGGCTATGTCCAATTTAATTTATTCTGGCAATTATTATTGCTATTATGGCACATTGATTATTTGATTCACGCGATTCGTTCACGGCTCACGATGGTTTGACAAGGCAAACACTCCGTCAGCCCCCTACACACCGGGACATTGTCATTGTAGTCCTGTGTCAGTGTCACATGTGAGTGGGAGTCTCCTAATAGCCTAACAGCACTTACTTGAAGCATGGGCCTTAAAACAGGCTTTCCCAAGTGTCAAAAAACACACCACGTAGCTAAAGAATGAGTTGAATAAATGAAACAAACAATCAATCACGGACATAAAGTGGAAAATTGGAAAACGGAAAACATCCAGGGTCGCCTCCAGGAAGCAGCAAACCAAGGAACGGAGTGGATGAGCGGCTGGAATCTGCTGCAGCAGCTGTTCCTGCATGTCTTTGGCCAAGCCACCACCCAACATGCCACTCTTGCACTGTGCCACAATCTGTGATACGCTGCCTAAGCCGGACGAAAAAAGACCCTTCAAGTGATCGCGGCATGGGGTCAAGAAGAGCTCTTCGAACTGTTGTTCGCACATCGTTGGCTTTGACTCTGACGTTGGGTCGGGAGCTTCTTCTTGCTTTTTCCGGGCTTGCAACCAACGCTTGAGACCCTCTGGCAACACTGTCACCCATTCACGCACTACTGTGGGGCTCCGCTCCATTGTTGGCAGATGACCAAAGGCTGGAAGCCGGCGGAACACAAAGTCACCAAGCTGGCACAGCATCTCAGAAAAGGTCTTGTACTCCGACAGCCACTTCACCTCCTGAGGTGGCAGACTCTTCCAGAAGCCACTGTCCACGTAGTGAGTTTGCTTCAAAGTTGGCCAAATGTCGTCCAAGTTGATCAGCGAAGGCTCTGACTCTGCCTCTTCGGAAAGTCCGACTTTGCCGTCGTGGCTCAAAGCCTCGCACATGAGCGACCTCAGCATCAGTAGAGTCACAGCTGTTATATTAGTCGTCAAGTTTGTTAAGTATGAGTTGTCTGAATTATCAGATCTAAGACTTCAGGACTCGTATCCGAGAATCCAATAGTCAATAGTCCAATAGTAACGTAAACTTAAACTACTGGTATATTATATTAAATTAAATAAGAAGTCATGAATAAGTAGTATAATCTTACTAATCTCTAGGGCTATCATACAAATACCGGCCACTGCAGCAACTGAAAAGGAACTCGCATCCCTGCAAAGATCAGTGTCCGAATGCAGGCAAGTCGCAAACACTCAACCAAGTTGGCGGAAAACAAATTTTCCGACACTTCTTTCAAATGGGCCAGAAAGTCGACAAGGACGGAGTCCAAGCGATTGTTGATCTTTTCTGCGTTGCGGCTGACCAATGCGCCTTTCTTGGTCTTGAGGGCTTTTGCCTTCTGGGTTGCATCTTGCCATACCACCTTTAGCGGTTCGAAAACTTTGCTGATCAGTTCCGACGGCCCGAGGCCCGCAGCCATGAACCTGAACTGAGTGACTTCTGCGGCAAACTTCTCAAGCGCCTCCTCAGCATCGGCTTCCTTCTTGCCGGACTCAACCTTGGATATTGCCAAGTCCCACAAAGTCTTGCCAGTAGGATGCTGCAAAAAGAAGCGCTCGATAGCGCTTGCTTCGGTGCTGTCATCCTCCTCCTCCAAGCTTGTGCTCAGAGCATCAAGACGCTCTGCGTCCTTCTTGAGCTTCGACATTTCGACTTCGGCGTGGCCCAATATGTTGGCTGCAAGCTGGGCTGCCCGGCACAGCGAGGCTGGAAGGAATTCAAGCGAATCAGGGCCAGAGGCCGTTTCCAGCATCGCTAAGCACAGATTCCTGGCCTCGGCCAGAGGCCCCTCCTCAGGACAACGCGAACCACTCAAACCAAGAAGATGCTGAGCTTGAATCGTCCGCAAACAAGCCACAATTCTGTTCTCGGCTTCCATGACCATCAAAGCCTCCAATTCCCCCGCGTCCAGCTGCTCTGCCAAATCTTTCACAAGGTCGTTACTTTTGCAGAAATGCAACCAACAGTCGGCATACTTGCTGTACAAGCAGGACTGGGTAGCCTTTGCCATGAGATACCGCAGGGTGAAGTGGGGACCGAGCTGAATGTTCTCGAAATGCTTCGATGCTGCCATGGCCTGTGACGGGAATGTGCTCATCTGAAACTGACTTGAACTGTTAACCTGTGATCCCTGACTCTACCACGGGACAACACAAACTCAAACTACTAACAATACACTAACAACACGATCACCACCAAACCCTAAAGCCTAAAGGCCAAACCCCAAATCAGCTTGAACCCCCTAAACCCTGAGCAACCCAAACCCTGCAACCCAAATCACCCTGAGCCTTAGCCTTAAACTTAAACACTTAAATCTAAACCCCTATAAACCCTAAACTCGACTCAAACTGACCCTAATCAAGTTAAGTTAACTAACTAAGATAACTAAAACTAAGACTAACAAGAACGACTGGAAAAAAAAAAGATGTTCTGAGACTAGACTATGCCATCCAGGCATTAGGCAGATGGCTACGAAAAGGCATCTAGCATTGAGGCTTCACGCAGAAAACTTAGACTTGCGGATAGTGACTGCGGCAAATGGCAAATGGTAAGGGCCATTTGGCATTTGGGCTACAACCGGACCCCAGGCCTGAAGCCGCTAAAGCCGACACGTTGGTCCGACGTTGGTTTCGGAATTAATCAGACAGACAGCCCGCTAGTCACTAGTCACCGGACCACAGTAGCAGTAGAAGGCTTTATGGCCGGGCCTTATTTAATATTTACCTCTGTTCACACATTTTGGCTAAGCATGCTCACGCTAAGCCGTCAGCCTTAAGCCTTAAGCCTTAAAGCCGCTTAAGCCTGAAGCTTGCCTTGAGCGCACTACACCGACGCAAGGCCTAAGCCTGACTCCGAGCCCGCCTCTCATTCTTGCCACATGACATGTTTTAACCCAGCACTGATGAATTCCATGTGCAAGTATTATGGCGGTCAGCTTTCAAAATCAACACCGTCGAATAATTAAGCCCGTAAATTCTCAACTTTACAACCACTTTGGACTCTAGACCCGTTAGACTCCGTTAGATTTCAGACGCATACTGAATTAGTGATAAAGAAATTAGCCGAGTAAGCCTGCACAAGCCGCAACATAGCCTGGGCCTTTGCAAAGCTGGGTGGGCTGGACTGACACATCGAAAATAGATAGTTTCTTAAATGAATATGTCATATGTCATATGTCGTCATAAATAGGTCATATGTTATTTCAAGTTTATAAAACAAAGAAAGCCAGGGCGCTGCTTGGCTGGCTTCGAAAGTCGAACACAAAGCCTCCGAGTCTGTGGCATCTGGCAAAGCAGCAGTCAACAACTTCGCCAGGCCTGAGGCCGCTTCCGAGAATTTGTCGAGCTGCTCCAACTCTGAAAGGATATGGTCTTTGTTGGGGCTCTTTTCCATGCGCTTGAAGAGGTCCTTGGCAACCTTCGACATGGCAGTCAACTCCTTTGACTTGCCACTGCTCTGCAGCCGGTGCGCAGCACGGGAGTCCTTGTCGGGCTTTGGGGGCTTCTCATCCAGATCCACATTGCGCAACCTCTTGTCGAGGTCTTGCAAGGTGTCCCTGCACGTGGACAAAGTCCTCTGGGCTCGGCCATCCAAGCTGAGCATGTTCTGCTCACGGGGCTGGTCTTTAGATTTAGACTCTAAAGACGGCGCAGCGACGGTGAACTTCTGGCTCTCTGGGCCGTTGTCGCTGGAGTCTCGGGCCTTCGTCTCGCTTTTTTGCTTGAGAGCCGACTTCCTCCCCGTGTTGCCAGAACTTTGCCCAAGGAAACCTTTCTTGAGAGGAGACTTAGCCTTGAGGCCCTTCAACTTTGCCACCTTTGCCTTTGGCCCTGAACCCACAGGAGCCTTGCTGCTGCCACCGCCTGCTGGGGCGGTCTTAGCCTTAGCCTTAGCCGCCTTGGCTTTGGAGCCAGGCGCTGCAGCACTCGAGGAAGTTGCTTTCGCACTGGCCTTTGGTGGTTTCTTCACAGCTGCCGAGCTGTGCCCAAAAAAACTCTGAGCTTTGAAATTCTCGTCCTCACTCGAGTTCTCGTCGGAGCTGTCCTGCCCAGAGCTGTTGCGCGAGGACGATGACTCAGAACCAGAGCCTGAGGCCGCCTTCTCCTCGCCAGTGCTTGGCAAACTTCCTTGCTCTTTCATCTGCAACACTATGCTGGCAAGATCCAGCTTCCGACCCTCCACAGCAGCAGTGTTCCTTTTTGCTGACACCGCCTGGAAGGCTCGAACGCCTGCCTTGCGCTTTCGGCTTAAAGCCTCGTTCCCAAAGATGGCCTGGAGTTCAGAGTCGTGCTCGATATGTTGTTCTTTCATGCTTCGATCATCGTATTCTTCGTAATCGAACACGCCTTTCTTGCCGACGGCCACCCAAATGCCTTTCTGAACTTCCCCCATCACTTCGAGCTCCTCGACTTTCGAAGGGTCCCAGGGACCACCATGAAGCTCCGGATCCCAGCCCTCCTCTGTCACAAACTGCTTCTTCGGAGCCAGCAACCGCCCACCGATGGCGTGCTCTTTGAGCAGTTTGGCTGCCTGCTGCACCTGGCCTTTCGAAGCCAGCTTCACTTTGTCTGGGTTCTCATTATGTTGCTTGATCCATTCTTTTCTGCTGGCAAGGAAACCTTTGTGCTTTGGCTGATTTTCCTTCTTTGAAACCCAGTCAAAGTAGGCCGTGTAGTTTTTGTGCTCCTGGTTCAGGCCTCGGCTGGGAGCTGCAATCTAAACGGTCTAAACGTGCGCAGACACAAAAAAAAACGTCTACGGCCTGGGGCCAAGGTTTCAAGGGCTTAAGGCAGGCTTAGGCGGCTTGCTTAGGCTGCTTGGGCGGTCTAGGAGTCTAAATTCAAACTGAAATCGGAACTGCGGAACATCAAGATTGAACTGTTTGAGCACGGGGGCACCGAAACGGTCTAAAGTCTAAAGTAAAGTTTAATAAAGTAAAAAGTACAAAGTGATTCGTAGTACAGATGAAGCAACCCAAAGCTCGGAACACGTTCAGACAAATCAAGTCGATCTTCCCTTCAGGAACACGAACTGTTTCGCCCTCAAACTGCACCTTCCTATACTTCGCCCATGGAATGACTCCATCAGCTCCAGGATCATCAAGAGGCGTAGGGTCGGTGGACGTGGCCTGACAAAGGCAGCACACCGAGGCTTTCGAGCACGAGTAGACGATGCGGTAGCCCGTCCCGCCATAGACGGAGCTCTCCGCCACAGTCGGGGCACGAGGTGCTGGCTGCTGCTCGGAGTCAGAGTCCTGGACCTCTTCAACTTCTTCAGTCTCTCCGTCAGCTTCTGCAGCCTCAGCTTCAACCTCCTCAGGCTCTTCACCGGACTGAGACATGGCCTGAGGCCAAAGACCACAGAAACCCGGCCCAAGGCCTGCGCCCAGAGCCTCGTCGAAGAAACTCACAAATCACCTTGGATGTTTTAAGCTTTAAGTGCCTTTAGGATTTAGGGTGCAGGGTTTAGTTAGGGTTTAGGGGTTAGGGCCGAGGCGGCTGAAGGAGGCCTTCGACCGGAATAAGGAGGGGAAGGTGTGGGGAAAAAGGGCGGGAAGGAGGGGGGTGGGAAGGCAAGGGTGGGGGAGTGAAGTTGAGCGTGGAAGGGGGGGGCAGGGCGAGACTCTTACTGTTTCTTTCAAATTAGAGGGGTAGCCCCCCAGCGGTAGCTCTCGCCAATTTTTTACTGGGCCTCAAGGGGTGGGCGGTGGGCAACCCCAAATGGTAACCTCAATCAGAACAGCCGAGCAGCGGTCGCAGGCGCGCGCCGAACTCTCACAAGTCCCTTGAACAAATGCCGGCAGGCAGTCGGGAATCTTTGGAATAGTTCATACACCAGCATTAATAGCTTAAATATTTACAGATTATATAGAATATGTCCAAACATATGTTTAATTATTTCTAAAGATATTAAGAATATTTCAAAAGATATTTTCAAACTTTGTAAGAATATTTTGAGAATATTTACAAACAAAGTTAAGTAGAGAAAACACAAAGTTAAGTAGAGAAACGACAAAGTTAAGTAGAGAAAGCACAAAGTTAAGTAGAGAAATGAAAAAATATTGTTTGGTAATATCTTTAGAAATATCTTAATATCTTTTGAAATATCTTTTGAAATATTCTAAAATAATGTCGAAATATTCCAAAATATTATCGAAATATTTGAACTAATGTTTAGAAACTATTCAATAGTACTCAGATAATTTAATATCAGGAACTTACATAATAGGTGAGACTTGTAAAGCTAAGCGGCTAAGCGTTTAGATTAATCATCCCTCACGGTTCTGCATCTCCAACTAAATAATTCGAAAAGAAACAACCTTGGTGTTGGTCTGCTGCAGGCTCCAAGACTCTTGGAATGGCCAAAAAGTTCAAGCTCAGAGACACGAACAACCCAACTGCTCAACAAACAGCTGCCGTTTTTTGCTGGCCTGTTTTCGGGCACGACATCACGTCACCGCGCAGGCCTTAGCTTGACTCAGGCTTTGAAGCCACCTGCCACGGACATGCGCGCTCACGCCGCAAATAAACTCGCAACGATGATCGGCTGCTGTGACACGGCGGCTCGAGGCCCAAACTCGCACACTGGCTGCACAGCACGCTTGCCGGTCGCCCCACACCCGACACCCGAGGCCCAAGACCCAAAGCCTAACACCCCCTAGGCCTTACGCCGATTCCGTAAGCTCAGCAAAGTCAGAAAGTCATGGACACATAGACAAGGACTGAGTCCATTGCCAAGGCCAAGACGGAAAACATTCACATGTACGGATCCCACTCTGCCGGCTGCGAGGGCAGGTAGAAGCCCAAGTCCTCGTGCACTTAACGGCAACTTCGGTAACGCGGGCTCTGGGTTGAAAAGTTCTGAACCTGCTGGAGTTGGCTGGGCAAATCTGCGGCCGCAAGGACTAAAGTTTTCAAACCCTCAGGCTCTCCAGCCTTCTGAGAGTCTTGGGTCAGGTTACGAGCCTCAAGGCTTGTACTCTGAAGCTCTAGGGCTCAGGGCTACGGGCTTTGGCTTTGGGGGTGGATTATGATCAAGGCTTAAGGTTTTTCTCTGCTTACGTGAACGTGCCTTGCGTCGCCTTCCGTCATAGGGTCCGAGTCATAGTCATAGGGCCTAGGGCATACGTCAATCTGAGTCGTTTAGCTTACTGGCTTGAAGCTTAGGCTTAAGGCCCTTAAGGCTGAAGTTTTGAGTCTCATTAAATCAAGTTATAAGGCTTGAAAAGTCTTGCCGCACGTAGGGTTAGGCCGTAAACTCGTAGACTAACTAGGCCCGAGGCCCTGAATCCTGCGCTGATTAAGCCTATAGCCTATAAATCTATAATTATAACGCTAAGGCCTTATGCCATGCCACCTTATGCCTCATGTCTTATGTCTCTAAGATATGATGTGATATCTTACGTCTTAACCGTCATGTGAAAACTTGCATGTGGATGTTCAGTCCTTTAGAGTTGCCACATCGCCGTCAACAAGCCTGCCTGGATCACGGCAACTGAATGCAACCAAAACAGTTCGAATGCCGAGCCAATCTCCAGTAGCATGTTGCTGTGCAGCATCGAAGGTCGCTCCGACCCCGCTTAAAGCGCGTCCCGTGGCTCCCTTCGGCGCAATCTCAATTTGCTCCAGATTGCCTCCAGATGTTTTTAAAAGAAGCGGCCCGCCCAGCCACCGCGAAGCTGGCAAGATCAAGCTCAGGCTGTCAGGCATGTTGTTGGAGTCGCAATGCCAGGAGGATTTAACCTGTTTTGAAACTGTTTTGTCAAGGACCCGTGCCAAAAGCCAACAAGGCAACGTGACATCAGGCATTGTAAAGACTTTGACTTTCTACTATAGCAACTGCAGTATATATATATATATATATATAGCATGCTACTACAAGCATAGTCATCCAGTAAATTTAGCTGACAAACACATATATTTTATATTCATGTTATATATACATATATATAATATCATCATCAATACATATATTTTTATATTTTCGTATTATTCTGTTATATGTATATATAATCTGATCTAATATATAATATATAGATATATAATATAATATATACATTCATACTTCACAAAACAATATCCATCCTGCCTATCGATCTGTGACCGGTCCGTCCGTCATCTATCCTTAGAATTTGTTCTCTATCTAATACTTGCCTACTTTTTGTAGAAACATATCTGCCCCATTCTTACGCCGATCCACACACAATCCCCTGCTCACTTCAGTCCGCCGATCAAATGCAAAACAAGTGACATCTCTGATCAAGGCCATGGTGGTGAAACGATGTGAGGGCGAATGCGTTCTAAAAACCTGGGCCAGAAGCCGAGCGCAAGTCGGGAACCGCCTTGTGGATGCTCTCAGCTTTGTGATGCCACCACGCGAGAATGCACCAAAGTAAATGCATTTGGCGCCATCATTAGCAGCTTCTTGAACTCCAAGCCGGAGGCTGTCTCCAGGCAGCCGATCGCAAAGTGTCTGGACATCAGCGAAGCTGAGAAAGCCTGGCTGGGGCTTCAAGCTGAGTGAAATGCACCACTGCCTTCAAAACATTAGCCCTGAGGCTTCAGGCAGGCTTAGGCTTAGGTCTTGGGGCTTAACATATTTATTTAGAGTTCTTTGACTTAAACTCTTGAGAGTGAGGCTGGGGCCTGAAAACCCGAGTCCTAAGTAGAGTCTTAAATCTTGAGACCATGAGGCTTAAGCCTAAGACCTAAGACTTGAGGACCTAAGCCTAAGCTTAAGGAACTTAAGGACTTAAGCCTAAGGCTTCAAGCTTACAGTCTAAGGAAGTTTGATGTGGCCTTGTCGAAAACAGGAGCACGCGATGAACTCTGCCCCGGCCAAAGGCCCAGGAGCTGCTAAAAGCGGAGGCGTTGAAGCATCGGCATCATGACCAGAGCCACAACCAAGCTCATCAGCCTTGGCCACTGCGTAGCCCGTGTTTGATGGCTGCTGCAGGAAGAAGGCTGGCAGCGGCATCACGTCCGCCTGAGGCGCTCTACTCTTGACTTCAGCAGGATAGAACCGCCCTTTTGATTCTGTTACTGTTGCTGACGATTTGATGAAGGTCAGCTCGTGCTGGGCATCATCCGAGTCTGAGTCTGGGCCCAAGGCTGCGTCTGAGTCTGAGTCCGTGTTCTCTGTCCCTGGGCCTTCAACGTCCGAGTCAGTGGCGGTGCCCGAGCAAGGGGCCTGGGATGGACTGCCTTCGTCTTCAGCCTCGGCCCTGCTTGCCTTTGAACCATCATCTGATGGGCCGCGGCTGTGCTCATCCTCATCGTCATCATCATGACTGTCATGTTTATCATCATCAATCTCAATCTCCAACGGTGCAAAGATGCTCGGTGTCTGTGCTAAGAATGGATGATCAAGATCAAGCCGCTCGAGCCCATCGTTGTGAGGGCCTTTCACAAACTGCCGCCACGCTGGATTTGCAGCTGCGATGCACGAAGGAACATCATCGAGCGGGTCGTACATTCTCCTAGGTCCTAGACCAGAGCTAAGGACCTACGATACTACAGCCTACAGGGCTTTAGGCTCGGACAGACTTTTAAATTGCCCAAATGGCTGCGGCCGCAAATGCCTCAAGCCCTGGTGCTGTGAGTTTTGGCCTGCCTCTGGCATTTCACATTGATTCCTGGCCACGCGGCATGCAGCGCCCTGTTTTTTTATCAGGAGGAGTTCCGGAAGTGCGAAACGCACTGGGCCTAAGGCCTTGGGCCTTCGGCGCCTTCACATCGTTGCCTCCAGTCAATGAATCAAGGTGTCAAGGAGCTTCTGACTTTCCGCTCTGGAAGCAAGGACTCGACCCAAGGCCTTCGGCCTTTGGCCTTTGCCATTGCCTCCGTTCAGTGGGCTCTGACTGAGACATGGCCCAAGGCCCAAGGCCTTCAAGCCTCAAAGACTCAAAGATAACTCAAAGACTTGGCTCGAAGCCTAGGACTAAGGACTAAAGACCAAGGCCTAAGGCTAAGACGACACATGCTGCACAATCCTGTCCAACTCCTCCGACGTCTTGCCCTGGGAAAAATCCCGGAGGAGTATATTGCCCATGCTAATGTGAAACTCTCGCTTCTTCTCCGGCCAGTCCTCGTCATCCAAGCCAGCCACCAGCCACCGCTTCAGCCGCAAGCGGCAAACATCATGCGGCAGCCCCCCCACCGCCGAGATTTCTTTTTTGCAGATCAGGTCCACGCCAGGGTCTGTGTGCCGGTGGCACAAAGCACTGAAACCCATGTGCTGGCCGGCCCGATACACTGGCGCCAACTGGAACGCCGGGCAAGAGCCCCAAACAACACTTCTGCGCTGCATAGTGCGAGGTCTCCGCTCTGCTGGCGCATCTGGCGGTGGGGGGACTGCCGCCACCTCATTCTCATCTCTGGCTTCAGCTTCGGCTTCAGCCGGACGAGATGCAAGGACGCTGCCAGAGGCACCGGAGCTGGCTGCTCCGGAAAAGCTGGGTTGCACATTCTCCTGGCGAGATGTCACTAGGCCGAAGGCCATAGCTGCTTGGTCTTTCTCAGATCCTGATGATGAGGATGAGTGACCCAGGCCCAGTGCCGCTGCTTCAAGCTTCTCCAGCTTTGCCTTGTCGACCGTGGCTGCAGAATCCTTGCTGCTTTTCTTTGCACTACTGCCGCTGGCTTTGCCAGTCCCTTGCTTTGGATCAGGCTTCGGCTTGGGGTTTGTCATTTGTCGAAGAGCAGCCAAGGCTGCTGCCTTCTGGCGCTCGGTTTCACGAGCTGCTTTTGCCTCACCGGGATCAACAAAATAAGAGGATGTAATGTCAAACTCGCTGAGATCCCTGACCCGACCCACTGCCAGAACGAAAAACGCCCAGTCGGTGGCTTGCTGCGCCAAGGCGTGAGCCAGATCCTTGTCTGACATCAGGACCAAGTCCCCAGTGCCTGTTTTTGCAAGCTTGAGGCAAATGTGAACCCCATCCCCCGGAACATCATCACGGACTGCCAGCTTGGCAAAAGCCGCATCAATCGGCGGTTTTCGAGTGTGGTAGGCCAGCACAAAGTACTCAGTGACGTCGGTGGCATCCGAAGCCTCGGCGGGGGCTCGGCTAAAGCCTAGGGCCTAGAGTCTAGAGTCTAGAGCCCACAGAAAGTCTAAAACTAAATGTCTAAAGTCTAGAGTCGAAA